ACACAACAAAAAAAAAAAAACATAAGCAAGTATTAACGTATGACTTTTGCTTCTGATCTAAATTTTGACTTACGTTTCTTTTCCATCCTTCTTTTTCTAATAATTTTAAATTCGAAAAAATTTCCACAACTGTTATACTATTTCAAAAAAAAATAAAAAAGAAGAGAGAGAGAGAGAGAGAGAGAGAGGAAGCATAAAGAAATTTGATGAGTGACACTGTTGACATCTGTATACAATGTATCAAATCTCCTCAACAATCTGATCTGATCTAGCTAAAGTATCATTTAACTGCTTACTTTATCTTGTCTTCTTCATTACCTCAATTTTACTTCCATTATTTGATATGTCACTAACTCAGTTAAAGTCTAGCAAATACTGAATATTTTAATCGTGTCATTATCACGTTAATATCAAAAGGGTTACACTTCATCGTGTCATTATTTAATATCAAAAGGGTTACACTTCATCGTGTATCGTTAATATCAAAAGGGTTACACTTCATCGTGTCATTATCACGTTAATATCAAAAGGGTTACACTTCATCGTGTCATTATCACGTTAATATCAAAAGGGTTACACTTCATCGTGTCATTATCACGTTAATATCAAAAGGGTTACACTTCATCGTGTCATTATCACGTTAATATCAAAAGGGTTACACTTCATCGTGTCATTATCACGTTAAGTATGTTTCGTGGAACCAAATTTGTCTTTTTTCGTATTAGCCCTTTTCACGTTTCTAACAAGCGTGAACAGATTTCCTTCATAAAATTTTCCATTGCTTAGCTTAGAATCCGTTTGTCATTTTTATCATTTTAATTTGATCAATAAATGATGCACTGAATATTACGATAATCACTGATACTGATAATATATAAATGATAAATAAAATCATTAATTTAAATTCAATAAATTCACACAAATTTCAAATAATATTCAATGACATAAATTATATTACAGTATAGATAGAAGAATAAAATGACGTTATGCAGAATGATTAATCATTCAATTATTATTACAGTTTAAATAAAATACAACTACCTAACAATTTTCCATTAAATTTCAAATAGAAATAGAAATTTTGATATTCTAAGAAAGTGAATGAATGAACTTAAAATATAATTCATTTTGCTAAAGTTTATTTATAAGTTCATCATTAAATTCATTGTTAAATTTCACTAATTGAATAAAAAATTAAAAAGATTTGATAAGATAAAATGAAGCTAAAAATGGTGTGATATATATATGACACATGACATGATCTGATCTGATCTAATCTGATCTAATCTGATCTGATGTGATCTGATATGATCTGATATGATATGACAGATATAATGCGATAAAAAGGATCAGAAAAGAGCAGACAAAAAGTTATTGCTTTAGCATCGAGCTTGGATGGTTCTTTTTCATTATCTTTACAGGATGATAGGCTATGCTTTCAATTTTAAAGTGTAAAGTGTTTCCTTCTTTCCTCTCCTTCCTCTCTCTTCTCCTTCTTCCTCTCTTCTTCTCTCTCTCCTTCTCTCTCTCTCTCTTCTCTCTCTCTTCTCCTCTCTCTCTCTCTTCTCTCTCTCTCTCTCTCTCTCTTCTCTTCTCTCTCTTCCTCTTCTTCCTCTCTCTTTCTCTCTTCTCTCTTTCCTCTTCTTCCTGTCCCTTTCTCTCTCTTTTTCCCTTCGTCTTCCTTCTTTTTCTCTTTCTTCATTTGTCGCCATTTTGAACTTATTTACATCCTTTTAGCTTATCTATATTACATTACCGCTTACTTTTCTAAATCAATTATCCTTGCCGTCTTATCACTGATATCGAATGATAATTATCAGTGATAACAATGATAACGATAATAATCAATTGAAGAGCATGAAGATTACTTTCATGTGACCTTTGACATACAGAAGTAGTCTAATCGACAATAACCTTCTCATATCACTATGCAATTACTAACTCCAAAGATGCTTATTGAACTTTAACCTTTCAATTTATAAATATTATTATTGCACAGTTTATTTTTAATTATTACATCCACTAAAACTAAGTGTTATGTTGGTTGACTGAAAAGTATTTTCTTGAGAATCATTGAAATAAATGGGGCGGAATTGTCCAATTTGGAAATGTGCAATTGTCACATTTAATAAAAATTATTGTCGAAATAGATGAAAGTTCATATTATAAAAGATAAGAAATTTGTTCTTTAATAATAAAAAAAAAGGGACGAACTTTTCTCTTTTATAATTATAATTTGAAATGTAAAAAATTTTATAATAAATCATAAAAAGTATTTAAGTATTACTTTTACAATTTATTATTTTCATTCAACAAAAACAACAATAACTCTCTTTTTTTTTCAACTTTGATCATCTATTATTGATTTTATAGACATCAAAGGAGAGGAAGAGAAGAAAAGGAAAGAGAGGGAGAGAGAGGGGGAGGGAGAGAGAGAGAGAAAGGGAAAAGTTATGTCTCTTTGATTTTATTTATTCTTGGATTTAACCCTTCAGACAGACACAAACAGTTCAGTTCGTTGTTTAATTTAAAAATGAAAGAAAAAAAAAAAAAAAAGAAAGAGGAAGAAGTAAATTTTTTATTTGTTTCAATAATTCATCGAATAATTGCTAAAATAATTTGATACTTTAAAATGAATTATTCATTTTCAATAATTAATTTTAAAATTTAAAAAATATATAAAAATTACAATTAAATTTCATATCGCTTTTAAAAGTGCTAATTTTAAACATTTTACAGCAATATTTTTGCACTGAATTTGGTTAATTGTTTCTTTTGTAAAATTTCATTTTTAACCTTTCAAAATTATGATATCATCCATCTATTTTTATCAATTCAAATTATTAATTTCCGATGATTTCTGATAATAATTTTAGATTTGATAAGCTTTACTCTTTCTAATGCATATCTCATTAAGATTTAAATTAATTTTCAAAAAAAAAAAGTATATTTTGTAATAAAAATGCAAAATTGTTGATTTCATTTTTTATCACAGAAAAGTTAGAAAAAAAAATTAGCTTTAACATTCATATTAATTAGATATATATAGTATTTAAGTATGAATTATATCTTAGTAAAAAATAAATTTTAAAGGTAATCAGGTAATTAGGTTAATTGTGACCTAAAATTATGAAAAGATTTGTTAGTCAGTGAAAATATTAGCAATCGAAAAATGAATTTCATTTTTTCGTTTTTTTTTTTCTAGCAGAAATTTTTATTAAAATAATTAAAATCTATATTGATTGTAAAGTGATGAATAATTAGCGCACTCGTAATTAATTAATTATTTAACATTTATTAAGCATATTTCATTAACATTTATCAAGCATTTTTATTTATTGCATTTTACAAAATTTATCAAATTATTAAAAAACAAAAAAAAAAAAAAAGAAAATGAATTAAGGTATGTAAAAAAAAAAAAATAAACAAACACTTTGTTTGAAGTAATCAATATTTGGCAGAATACAAAAAAAAAATAATAATAATAATAAAAAGTTATACTTTAACAAATATTAACTATTTGCAATTAAAAATTTTCTACAATTCCATTTTGCCATTATTAGTGCAATTTGCATTTTTCAAATTGCACTTTGTTTGTTCTTTTTGCAAACTTTCTTTGTAAACAAAAGTTTGAAAATAATTAATTTCAATTTAGCAAACAATAAAAAAAGAAAAAAAGAAGATCATAGCATTAAAAGAGAGATTTTAGAGTGAAAATATAATATTATGAGGCGAACGATAATACATTTTCGCAATTTTAATAATTGAAAAATTGCGATTTCAAAAAAAATTATTTTACATTATCAAATTTAAATAAATTAAAATACAAGCAAAAAATTATTATTCTCATTTCAGATGAGAATAATTTTATATTCTTTAAATTACAACTTCTCGTTTTTTTTTTTTTTTGCAAACTAAATGTTAATTGAATTATCAATCAGTGATAAGATAGATATGAGAGAGAATTATTTTCATGCCTTCCTAAAATGGAAAATTTTGATAATTTCAATTTGATAAAAAATTTTAAAAAACCGAAAATTTATTTTGTTCTCATTTGCAAATATAAAAAAAAAAAACATCTTTTTCTTTTTTTTTTTTGCAATGATTATTAAAGATAGAGAATTTTTCTTTTTTTTTTTATGAAAAATAAATTAATTAATTAATGATTGGAAAATGAAGCATTGTGGAAAAAAAAAGGAGAAAGAAAGAAGAAGAAAGAAATTAAAATAAAATTATTAAATAATGAGGAGGGATTCATTGAAATGCATTTGAGAAATATGGCAAAATGAAAATGATATGGAAGAAAAATGAGTAAACAGGAAGAAAATCAAAAAAAAAAAACAAATAAACAAATAAACAAAAAGCACAATGATATTTTGATAGTAATACAAAAAAAGAAAAAAAGAAAAAAAAGTTAGAAAAAGTGTGCAAAATTTATTCTTAAATTCAAAAAAAAAAAAAAAGAATTACAATTTAGAAATTTTACAAAAAAATAAATAAAAAAAAAAGTAAGAAAAGAGAAATACAATATATTTGTTAAAAATATTTTATTTCAATAAAGAAAAATTGAATTAAAAAAAAAAAAAGAAAAAGAAAAATTAGATAATCTGTTAAAATTATTACTATTAATAATTTATAATTCATCATATGAAATGATCACGTAAAATACACGTAAAATACGTGTATTTGATTATTATATCAACGTTACTTTAACTTCTAATCGATAACATTTCACGTATAACACATATTCACAAGAAAATATTACCGATATACAATGAAATTATGTTAGAGTAATAACATTTCTTTTTATTTTAACATCTAATCAATAATATTTCACATAGATCAAAATAAACAAAATTTTATTTTTCAAAATTAAATCAATCGTATATTATATCATTCAATTTGAAATAAATCAAAAATGTAATTTAAATTAGATTTACAATGAAATTAAATTTTCAAAAAAAGTTTTTTTTTTTTTTTTTTTTAAATTTAGATTATAGCTAAACATACCATTCTTTGAATTCTTTTTTTCTACCATTAATAGATGTTGCACAATTATTTTTAATATTATTTGTTGTGTTATTTCCATTTGGTATAACAGCGCCTTTAATTGGTTGATAGCCGCCATCAAGTTGATTTACTCGATTATGAAAAAATGGCGGAGCATTATGTCTCGATGATTCTCGCATCATTGGTGGTGATAATTCGGCTGGTATTGGAGCATAGCCAGATTGTTTACTACTACAAACCATTGGATATTGATCTGTTGATGGACCACTTTGTCTACATCTAAAATAAACAAAATTTTTTCTTAACATTTTTCTCATTCATTTTGAATTAATTAAAACGAAGAAAAATATTAGCAAAGATAGAAAAAAAAAAAAAGATAAATAAAAATGATTCAAATATAAATAAAATTAAAATTTGAAATAAAATAGCACTGTAAGAGAGAGAAAAACAAAGAAAAAATCTTCGCTTTTTTTTTTAGAAAAATATTTTTTAAAAGAATTTTAATTAGTACTAAAAGTACAACAGATAATATCAGATACTTTTTTTTTTAAATTTTTAAAAACAAAAATTATTTTAGGAATAATAAATTTACATTTTTGAATTAGTGAAACGTATAAATGAAAAAAAAAAAAAAGAGCCAAATCTTACCTAAAAACACAAAAAACAACAATAGCAATGATAATTATCACAGATAATGAAGCTATTGAAATTAGTGCCGTACGTGGGAAATCTGTTGGCGTAGTAGGAGCCTAAAAATATTAAAGATAAGTATGAAAAGTTCATTAAGTAAATAAGTTTAAAAAAAAAAAGAAAAAGAGAACGAACATTTTATTTTAGATATGATTGCAAAATTTGAAATATAAATTTGCAAAAAAAAAAAAAGAAAAATTAATTTAAGAAAAAAATGTAACACAATATTTTAGTTACATATCATTCTTAATTTGTTATTTTTAAAAATTTTCATTTACTTTCCTAATCATTTTTTCAATTCTATTAATTAATAATATATATAATGAATTTAGTGATAAGAAAAATGAAGTGATAAGAGATAAGCTAATCAAATAACAAACCTTAGCTGTATCAGTGATAAGTTCACCCATTGGAGTAGTTGGTCTAACTGCATAAATAGTATGGCTCACCAATGTTGTACGAATACGATGCTTAACAGTAGTAGTAGTAGTAGTAGTAGCTGATGATGATGTTGATGATAACGATGATGATAACGATGATAATGATGATGATACGGTTGGTACGGTAAGCAATCGTTGTGATTTATGTTGTTGCTCAATGTTACCTGTAATTTTTTTTATCTTCTATAAATTAAAATTTAATTAAAAAATTATTGATAAACAAACTAACAATTTCACAAACAATAAGGTCTGAAGGGTTTTTTTTTTTTTTCTATTTCATTTAATCATAAGTTATTTGATTACGATAAATCATTCAATAATAATTTTAAGCAACAAATTTATAACTCTCAAATATGCTTTCACATTTGACTACTAATTTTTATTATTGTAATTAAAATGTGCCAAAAAAAAAAAATAAATAAGATAGAATGAAAAAAAAAAGAGAAAAAAAGATGAACAAATTAATTGCTAAATAATTAAAAAAACTAGAAATTTGAATAAAACATTGCAGTCATGCTGAAGCAAAGAAAAGAAAAATAAACTTTAAAATTGACAGTTGAAAATAAAAATTTCAATTTAAAAAAAAAAAAAGTTTTTTAGGGAAGAAAGGAAGAAGAAATTTATATAGCTTGTTAGAATTTAAAAAAGCGCATTACTTTCTACTATTTAAACTTACCCAAATTCTTAGCTTCAGGCACTTTTATTTCTTTCTTTCTCTCTTCTGCATTGTCATTTACTAATGACGATTTAGTTGAAGCATTCAGCAAAAGAGATGTTATTTTTGGCGTTACTGATATTAAATTTTTATCATTTCGAGATGTTATCATATCATTTACTGATATAGCCTGATGAGATGTCGATTGTTTTGCATCTATAGTGATAAAGTTTAGTGATTTAATTGATAGATTACTATTAATAGTATTTGTTATAGTAGAAGATATTGTCGTTGTTGTTTTGCTTCGTGATACATTCTCACCGTTATCTATGATAAGAGCTGGTGGTGCAGCAATATCGCTCCACAAATCTTCAAAATAATTTCGATTAGGTTGCTGTGAAACAGCACTAGAAATTTGCATAAATTTAGTGTTTGTGTTGGGTGAGAAAGGTGATAATGGTGCAGCAGAAGGTAATAATGATAATGGTGTAGTAGAAGGTTGTAATGATAATAGTGTAGTGGAGGGTAGTAATGATAATGGTGTAGCAGTAGGTATTAGTGATAATGGTGTAGTAGAAGGTATTAGTGATAATGGTGTAGTAAAAGGTATCAGTGATAATGGTGTAGTAGAAGGTATTAGTGATAATAGTTTAGTAGAAGGTAGTAATGATAATGGTGCAGAAAAATTACTCGTTGTAGTAGCATAACGACACTTCGAATAATTAGCATTGTTTTTAGAATAATTATAACATTCCGAATTGTTATTAAAATATTGCAGATAAGTATGATTGCTATTAGAAAAAGCATAGTGTTTATGCATTTCATTTGGATAATTATAATTATTATACTTTGATATATTATACGGATGATAATAATATCTAGCATAATTATCAGAGTGATTACTATCATATTTTTGGTGACTTATATTATTCTGAATTATTGATGATAAAAGATAATAATTGTTCGTAGCAGTGATAAATTTCTTATCTTTCGTCTCATTTAGTCTTTTTGCATCTTTTTGCATTGTGAAATTTGGAAAAGGCTTTTTTGTTGTAATATCATTGCGATGAAAAATGTTTGTGGGAATTATTTGGATTGGTACCGGAGCTGATGTTTCCAGGTTTCTTATTTCAGGTGAAGAAATAATTGCAGTTTGTGTTCGAAATGATGAAATGGTTGGCCAAAAGAATGCAAAACGATCATCATTATCATCATTATCATCGTTATCAGCACGAAACAATGCTGGTGGCAGCGTATTACCATTACTATTTATCTTAGGAATAGTGAATAAATCATAATTATTATCATAATTTCGAGAGAAGCTAAAAGTTGAAGTGATAGTGGTTAATGTGGTTGTATTAATTGTGCTGATATGTGCTATATTAGTAGTAGTAGTAGTGATAGTAGTAGTAGTTGTTGTTGTTGTGGTAGTGATAACGGTGATAAGGTTGGTGGAAAGAAACGTGTGAGTACGTTGAGTGAACTCACCGTTTATTGTTGTTGTTGTTGTTGTTGTTGTTGGTTGATGTTGTTGTTCCTGAGCCAAATTCTCAGATTGTCCCAATTGTGATATTTCAGTGCTAGCTGAAGTAATTGGTTTAACTCTCGTTGTAGTTAATGTTGGTGCAGTTGTTGTTATCAGTGCTTCCGTTGATAATTTTGATTTATCACTTCCTCCAGTTATTCGTGATGTTGGCAGAATTGGTGTAATGAAACCTATAAAAACAAATAAAACTATAAATAAACATATTTTATAATTAAATTTGAAAAATTAAATTAACATAAACTTGAATATAATTGATGATAAAAAATTAGTTGAATTTTTCTTTTAAATATATAAATTTCAAAAAAATTTTTCTCAATTTAAAATTAAAATTTACTATTATTTTAAAATTTCTAATCTGTTTTCTTTTTTTAAAATCTTCTATATAATTTATTTAATAATTTGTTCAATTATTATTTGAATAGAAAAAGAAAAAAGAAAAAAGAAATAAAATAAGAGAATAAATAAATGTAATCTATTTCACTCTTTGCTTAAATATACATTTGAATAAATCATTATTCTTTCCCATTTGCTAATTTGGTAAAAATCACAAACCGTTATATTAGCAAAAATTTTATTTGAACAATTAATTCAATTTAAAATTCACCTTTCCTTTTTTTTTTTTAATGAAAAAAATTTCTCTTCTCTAAAACATCATCTATCATTTAAAGTTATAATTTTAAATTTTAATATTTTAATTTTTCCTTTTAATAATCATTTTTTTTTTTTTTAAAATACTTTTAAAATATTTTAATTGTTCTGATCCATTTTTTTTTTCTTTGATTTACATCTTTCAATACTATACGTAATATATTGTAATTTTAACTAGTATATATGATAAATTAAAATATTAACAAATAATTTATTTGATAAGATACTTTGATAAGAATAATTTATTTGATAAGATACTTTGATAAGAATAATTTATTTGGATAAGATACACATTTGAAGTAATGAAAAATTTCACTTCTTTAAAAAAAAAAAAAAAAAAATCAATCATCAATCAGAAGAATACAAATTTTATTTTTTAAATCTAAAAAAATTTATTTTTTTTTGTCTCTCAACTTTCTCATTAATTTTAAATTGATCTTCTAAAAGTAATAAAAAAAATTAATTAATTAATTAATTAGCTGAACCAGATGCCAAATTAGGCGCAAATAATGGTCGTTTGTGATGAACAAATTGACATTTAGTGGAATGCCAGTCAAATAAACATTTAATTGGTGGTGCAATTGTTGTCGTTCGTTTTGATAAACGTAACTGTTTACTTCCATTATTTAAACGATCTTTTGTCCTCCATCGTTTGGTCATTTTTTCTTTTTGATTTTGCAAAATTATTTCAACAAATCTAGAGTTTCACAATTATCTATTATTAAGTAATACTTATCAGAAAAAACAAAGAAGTAGCGAAATGGATAATTTATTCTTGTAAATGCATTTTATTATTTATAGTTCAAAAATTAAATGATATATATATTTAAAAGAAAAAAATGAATGAAATATACATTTAGTAAAATTTGTTTTTTTTTAGTAAAAGGAAATTTTTATTAAATTTAGTAAAAGGAAAAAAAAAGAAAAAGAAACAATTGAAACATATGTATAATTTTGTTCTATGCAAAATTTGCGAAAAATAAAAGTTAATATTAAAAGTACTTAAAAATAGAAATTAAAAAAGAATTTTAAAATTAAAAAAATTGTAAGAATAGAAAGGGACTAATAATTTCTTAAAAAAAAAAAAAAAAAGAATAGCAAAAATTATTTTTAATCATTGAGAAATAACTATTTTCAAATGAAACACAATGAAATGATTAAAAATGAAATAGTTAAAATTATTATTATTATATAGTTAAAACAATTAAATTATCGTAGCATTAATTTAAAATTGCCAATTTTTCTAAGAAATTCTAATTTTACTAAGATTTTAGCATAATTTGAGATGGATGCACAAATATTTGAACTGTTGTAATATTCATTTTGTTGCTAAAATAAAACAACAAATTTTCAAATTTAAATTTAAATTCAAATTCAGATCCACAAAAAAATTTTACTAAGATTTTAGCATAATTTGAGATGGATGCACAAATATTTGAACTGTAATATTTATTTTGTTGATAAAATAAAACAACAAATTTTCAAATTTAAATTTAAATTCAAATTCAGATCCAAAAAAAAAAAGAAAATTACATTTTTTTACTAAATAATATTTGCTAAAAGAAAATAGACAACCTATCTGATATTATATTTATTTATAATAAAATATGCTTTAATATATGTAAATGTTAATTTTGCAGGGAAAATGATAGAAGTGGACAATTGGTGACATTTGTGACACTTCAAAATGATTATTGTTGACAAGTCTATAGCATTGATGATTTTATTAATTTTCCTATGATTCATTAATAGTTAGTTACTTTAAAAGGTTACTAACAAAGTAATTCATCACGCGACAAAAAAAAAAAAAAGGAACGAATTTCTCGATGATTTCCTAATTATAATGTCTTCGAGAATATACAAAATTGATATTTAAATTAAACAAAAGGATCAAAAAGGATAAAAGTTACATATAATTTTGTTATCTGTTAGCTAATTTAGCTAATAAGCTTTTTCGTTCTTTTAAAAATATTTCTAAAACTTTTAAATTTTTTTTAAAAAAAAAAATTGCTAAAAATTAAACATTTTAGAATTTTATATGTTAAATAAAAATTTGTAATCATTTTTTTTTTTTTTTAAAATTTTTTTTATACTAAAAATATAAGAAAGAAATTTTTATTTAATGAAAAATAACTTTGCGATAAATGCTTTCACTCATTATTTTCATTTAATTAACCTTTTCTTCTTTCTTTCTTTCCCTCTCTCTCTCTCTCTCTCTCTCTCTTTGCATTTTATTCGTTCAAATCTCTCAGATAAATAATTGTTTATGCAATAATCACAGCAGCAAATTATTTAGCTCTTTCTATTATTATCTCTTATATTTTTTCAAATATTTCGGGTATAATTTATTAATAGAAAACAAATTTAATTAGAATAATTATCAAACATTTCAAATGATAAAATTTATTGATTAAAATACTGATAACACTGATTAAGTTATCAGATTGACAAGATTATAAGCTCTAAATAATCTTATCAACAAAATATATTACAAAAATTGATTTTAGATAAGATTAGAGTAAAACTTTAAAAAATGAAAAATAAATTCAAAAGCTGTTTAAAAGAATGAAATGCGATATTATGTGTAGAAATAATTTCAGGTTGATTTAGTAATGAAAAGAGAAGTGCAAAAAAAAAAAAAAAGAGACAAGCCAAGTAATTGTCCCCAAGTCAAGTAATTGTCCCCAAGGCTCATTAAAATTATTGAAAGAGGATTAGGAAGATAACTCATCTCGAACAGATATTTGTTGCAATTAGCCTACATTTCTTCTCAGTTTAATCGATATAATTTAACAGTTTATTGATTAAAGCGCTAATTACTTCAAATTTTAGGGAAAATATAATTAATTTGAAATTGTGATTTTCATATTTTTTATTTTTTAGTAATAAAATTTCATTTTAAAAAACACATAATAAAATATTTTGGAATTTTTGAAAGTTTTTTTTTTTTTTTAAACAAAAAATGGATTTTTTATTTTTCGAAACAAAATAACGCATCGATTTTGAGGTAATTTTTGAGGTTAAACTTTGATTTAAGTTTAAGTAATAATTTAATTTAAGTAATTTAACTTAAACTGATACCTTGCTAAAAGTATAAACACATAACTCTGTTAAAATTGTATACTTCAATTTTTTTTTTTTGTCCGAGTTGAATTCATCATTTTGTTCCATCAAAAATGACATACTTTAATAGACATAAATGTATATTAATTAATATTATTAATAGATTATACTTCATTGATGAAAATAATTTTAAATTATTTAAAATAATCATTAAATTAATATCTTTAAATTCCTAATACTAAATTCAATTATAGCATTAGCAATTCAATTATTAAATATTTAAATGCTTGTTGTTTGTTATTAAATTCAACCAAAATTTTTTTCCTTAAAACTATCTAACTTTTTTATAAAAATTTCATTTTTATTTTAATTACCTAAATTATCTAATATTTAATTGTTTATGAACAAATTTTCATTTATATATTTCATCTTTAAAAAAAAAAACAAAGAAAATCGAAAATTAAAATTTATTTTGCATAATTTTTTTCTTTCTTTCTTTGTTGTTCTTTTTTTTTTTGCAAACAAATCGCTTTTTACGATCAATGTTCGATAATATTTAAAAATGTAAGAAAAAAAAATATTTTTTAATGAGATGGAGACTGGTACGACACTGAAGCGCATTTAGCACTTAAAAGAAAAGCGCACTTGTCATTGACTGCTTTTTTTTTTTTTTTTTTAAAAAATATTTTATCTGTCTAACACGTTATTTCTATATGTTTTATTTCAACAATTGATGATCGATTGACATTTCTTTTTTTTTTTTCATATATCATTGAAATATTTAAAATTTTAGATGAAATTAACATTTTAAAAATATAACCAACCAATTGGGAATTTAGCCATTTCATACTTTTACTTTCTTTCTAACATAAAATGCAATCGTTGTTTTTTTTTTTTTTTATAAATAAAAGAAATGATAATATAATGTATTTTAAGCATTTTCCATATATTTTTATATTAGCAAATATTTAGCTTAACTGAAATAAAAATATTAAATTGTCTTTTTTTAAAAGTTTTTTTTTTTTTTTTAATTCATTGAATAACTTTTTATGGTTTTTTATTTCATTTTCTTCAAAGGAATTTTATTTTTCAAAAAAAAAAAGTTTGAAATTTTCTGAAAAAGAAAAAAAAAGAGCAAAAAATATAAGAAAGAATTAATTAAATCAAAAAAAAAAGAGAAAAAATTAAGTTTGTGAGAATTAATTAATTAAAATAAGAATTTTTACAAATGTTAAATTGAATTTTAAATATTTTTGTTCTGTTTGTGTCAAAAAATTTTGTAATTTTATAATGAATGGAAAAAAGGTTTGATGCTAACAGAAAAATAATAATTATTTCATTTGTATAAAATGTCTATAATTTAATTTTTTTATATTTTGAAATGATAAGTACATAGATTATAAGAAGTAAGTATATATGGACTAGAAGAAATTAGACAATGGCCAGGAATATTGGCCAGGAATAAAAATCAGCCAAGTATATGGACTAGACAAGTATGAAAAAAAAAAGAAAGTAATCTTAGCTATAATTAGCAGAAAATAAATTCGATGACAGCATTTTGTCATCGAATATTTCTAACCAAATTTATTCAATTATTAAAATTCAATTCAATTATTAATGAATTTCAAAAAAATTAAAAAAAAAATATTAAAATCAAAAAAAAAAAAAAGAGTAAAGTCACAACAATAAAATTAATTTTACATATATTTATGAAAAAAAAAAAGGATTAACCCTGAACTAATTTTGATATATTTCAAAAGTTATAGCATTTCAAAGAAGAAATCAATTAATATGTAATTAATAATTTTAAGTTTTAAACATTACTAATGTTAAATGAAAGAAAAATTTTTTGTTAAATTTCAACTAATTGCTTCTGCGTTTTAATAAAAGAACCAATAACAATTTTAAAAATTTAATAACACTCTTAAATAATACTATTTTATGTTGTTGAATTATAATTGAGAAAATTTTGAATTACTTTTGTTAAATATAAAATTTCAAAATATGCACTCATTAAAATGATTTATAATGATCATAAAAGTTTTATATTTAAAAAAAAAAAAAAAAACAACTTATTTTCTCTTTCAATTAGGAAAAAAACCCATTTATAAAACTTAATTCATGTGATAAAACGTTATATCAGTATTAGTCTATTATCATTTATCATTTATCACATTATCATTTAATGATTAAGTTAAATTCCAAAGTAGCGATATACAATAGTTGTTGTTTATTAATTAAAAATACATAATCATCTACAGAATCAATTATTTCCATTTAAAAGCTTAAGTATCATTAAAATTATCAATATTATCACTTATCAATGTTACTTAAAATCAGTGTAAAAATATGAATAAATTAATAATACATTGTTATTACATCAATTAATTAAACATTTTAACAAAAAAAAAAATTCATTAAATGTTAAGTTTGATCAAAAATTTTGCCATGAAATTCATTTATAAGTAAAAAAAAAAGAAAAAAAAAATTAAACAGTAATAAATTAAAATTACAGAATGAAGAAAAGAAAAAAGAAATAAACTCAAAAGAAATAAATAATTTTAGTAAATGAAAGAAAAGATAAAATATGAAAGTTAAAAAGTACGAACTAAAAGTTAATAAGTAAAAGTTAATAAGGATGGAAGAGGAAATTCAAAAAAAAGGAAATAGAAGAATTCACAGAAAGAAAAAAAAAAAAAAATTTTTTTTTTTGATTTGAATCAACATCAATTTTCTGTTTACTTCTTCTATTGCTTTCTTGCAAAAAAAAAAAAAAAAACTTTTTTTTCTTTTTCTTATAAAATTCCCACGGGAAAAAGGGAAACAAATATTTGGTAGGGAGAGAGAGAGAGAGAGAGAGAGAGAGAGAGAGAGGGAGGGACAGAGAGGAAGAGAGAGAGAGAGGGAGAATAATGTGAAAAGCCAAAGGGTTTTTAAAAAAGAGTAATAAGATAGCTTACTTACTTATCAATATTTCAAAAATCCTTCTAAATTAAGAAATAAAGATGAAAAAAAAAAAAAAGAAATGAAATATAGGAAATGGTTATTAAGTTAAAAATACTTTGTTATTGAAATGATAACTATTATTGAAATGATTGATATTCTAATCCATCGATGATAAAATCATAATTTTATCATCGATGATAAACGGAATCTTATTGCCTCAACTGTATTTTAAAGTAATTTTAATAAAAATTAAAAAAAAAAAAAACTTATCAGTATGATTAAAATTACTGATAATAGTAGAGCTTATTTCATGCCTAATTAAGTATAATTAATTAAATGGTCAATTTTATGTAATTTTATCATATATTTATTATTTGATATTTTGTATTTACTACTTACAATTTACAAATTTCTATAAATTTGCTGCATTTATTGTTAACTTAGTAATTTACTTTAAGTATTACTACTTTACTTAAAATATGTTAATATCGAAAGTACAAATGTCTGTCAAAAAAAAGAAAAAATTGAAGGCTAAAATTAAATTTTCCTAGTTTATATGAATTCATTCAAAAGATCATTCATTCATTCATTTTTTTTTCTCATCAACATTATGACTTATTTAACTTTCTCTCTAAACTTAGTTAACTTTTCAACTATATACTTAACTAACTTTCATTTCACACTTACTTAACTTTCTTCTCAAATTTAATTTTTCTCTTCGAGGACATAATATATTGTTAGAAACTATTCAAAATGCAAAAAAATCGATTGTGCAATTATCAAAGTTAATCTGCGCAATTCATCTTCAAATTATCTCCAACAAAATTTTGCATAAATTATATGAATAAGAATTGATGTTCATATATGCTTCTTCTTTTTTTTTTTTTTTTTTAAATAGTCCCAATGGATTTTAGAATCCCATAAGCTTATTTAAATGTTAGCATCCTGCAATTTACATGTAAATTTCGATTTGAAGTATACATTTCTAATTAAAGAAAGAGAAAACGATGATTTCATTGTCATTCGTCTTTGCATTCTATCATACTTCATTAAAATCTCAATAAACTTTAATCTTTTCTTATAAATTATCTTTAGTTTTATTATATTTCAAAAAAATAACAAACCTATTCTTTTTTTTTCTTAGTAAAACTTAAATTTTTGAAAAAAAAAAAAAGATTTTTTTTCTGAGTTACTCATCTAATAAAGTAAAACAAATCAAACATGCATTTTAACATTTTCTTAAAGTATTATAAAAAAAAAGAAAAGCTTTACAGAGTTTAAAAAAAAAATGTTTAATGAGCAAAATAAAATTGAAAGTTTATACTTTGAATAATTATAGTTACAACAATAATTAATTATTTTCAAACTAATAATTAATTAGTCTTATATTCAATGTTTGATATCATATATAAGCACATATGAATTCAGCAGACATATGCGCTGCATTTTGCGCATAAATGTAGCGTAGAAATATATATATATATATATATTTTTTAAATTTTTTTAAATTTTTAAATATTTTTTAAATATAAAATATATTTCGTGAAGTATAATCTATTTATTTAATATAACAATGTGACACATATATATAAAGAAATGTTAGTAGAATTTAAAATTATAATCTGAAATCATAAATATAAGTGGACAACGTCCATTAAAGCGTTTAAAAAAAATTAGAATTAAAACATTTACTATAAGCAAATAGATAATATTTAGTAAATTATTAGCAAAAATTATTGTTAAAATGCTTACCGTTAATAAATAAACTAATATTCAATGATTTGTTAGAAAATAAATTAAAAAAAATTTGTCATAAATAAAATGGACAATGTCCAGTAAATTGCTAGAAAAAATTAGTAAATGAAATATTTACCGGTATGATCGAGATCAGTAATTTGACATTTTTCTTGCTCTTCAAATTCCACACAACCAGAACCTTCTGCTTCAATAAAACCTTCTTTAGAGGTTGCCTAAAGTAAACAAAATGAAAAATAAATAAATAAATAATATCCAAAATTTCGAAAGAAAAAAAAAAAAAAACTTTCCACTACAATAAGAAATGTTATTGAATTAGTAAAAAAGAATTGTTTAAAAGGATAGCAATGACATTAGCAATGTATAAATAATAAATGCATAAAATATAAATAAATTTCTGTCGGAGAATATTGATTTTTGGATGATAATAAAATGCATAGACTATAAAATTATAAAATTTTTTAGAGAAAAAAAAAAAAAACGAATTATTTATTAATCAGCAATTTATTGAGAAAAAAAAATTGTATTTTTAAAAAAAAAAAATTTATAAAAATAAAATAAATAACTATAAGTAAAGCTATTATCATTTTTTTTTTTTTTTTAAATTTTCTTATCAAAAAAATGTGAATAATAACGCAGCAAAGGTTACATTTCATTTTGTTGATTTTATTATATAAAATTTAGAAATAGAAATATGTTTGTTAGTAGAAATAAATTTTATTCCTATATTATAAAAATGCTAAAAATAGCAGTTCTATTTCAATTTTAAATTTTTGCTATTTAAAAATTTTATCAAATAGATTGCTTAGAGAAAGTAATACTAAAGAAATAGAATTGTTAGTTGCAGTATAAAAGATAAAATTTTTTTCAAAATTTTCTCATTTATAAACATTTCAAATAATAATTTCAAGCTATGATTATTAAAAATAATTATTAAATTATTATTACAATGGTCAAATTGAAATTATCAAAATTAAAAAAAAAATTAAAATTACAAAAAAAAAATTTCTGAAATAATAATAAATATTTATCACAAAAAAGTAAATATTTAGCATTTAAATTCAAAAATATTTCCTTATCTATCATAATGAAAAATTTTCAGGTAAAACTAAAAAATACTAATATTATCATAAAATATTATAAATTATCTCCATGAAATGATCAGTTCAAGGATCAAAAAAAAAAAAAGAAATTCTAATTAAGTAAATTTTTCTTGCTCAAATGATTTTAAAATTAACACATTGAAATTTTCACTATTCAATTAATTAAATTACTCTATGACATAACTTATAATAAGTAGATATGATGAAAATAATTTTTATAAATGTTTAAAAATTTCAAAAATTTTTAAGCAATAATAATTAGCAGAAGAAAAATTTTTCAAAATTGTATGCTTGCAATGATAAAACAGTATAAAATGAATTTATTATTTAAACACAATTTAATTTAAAGATATTTATAAGAGACAGAGAAAAAAATAAAAAGATTTTAAAATAGGAATAATTTTCAAATAGTCATAATACTAATGAAAAAAAAAGAGGAAAAAAGAGGAAAAAAGGTTTTTGGTTTATTGGAAAGCTTCTGGCAAATATACATTTTAGGAAAATTAGAAAAGTAATTTTGCTTTTCCTTAGTTGAAGAAAAGTATAACAAAAAAATATACCTAAATGCTAAGCTTTTTTTTTTACTCTTTCAAATATTTTTAAAAAGTACAATGCTTTCTTTCTTTTCTAAGGCTTTTAGTTCTTTTTCTGATTAATGAAATTTTTCCCAAAAAAAAAAAAAGAATTTTCCAAGGAATTTTCGTTTGCTTTTCACTAAGCATTTAAATTGTTTAAATATTGGTTTGATATTTGTTAAAAAGTTTGCTTCAGTCTTTTTTATTTTTCAATTTCAATTCAATTTCAATATCAAAATTGGATGAAAGAAAAAAAAAGAAAAAAAAGAGTAAAATTGGTTTCAATCAAATTTTGAGACATTTTTCTCCAATACAAATAAAACTTTTGAAAGTATATTTTATAAAATTTAATCAATCATGCTGTTCTGTTAAATAATGTAAACAAATTGAAAGTAAATTTATTGTTGATAAGCATATATTAAAATTAGAAGAATCAAAATTATACAAAGATTAAACAAATGAAACAAATTGAAATTATAAAAAATAATAAACTGAAAAGTAGGAAAAATTTTCATAACAAATTTTTTTTAACAAAAAATTTTTTTCTTTAAAAAAAATAATTAAGATATTATTGAAGAAGAAATCAAATATTGAAAAAAAAAAATCTACCAAAGTATGAATATAATAAGAAAAGATAAAAAAAGAATAAAAGAGAGAGAGAAAGAGAGAGAGAGAGAAAAAAAAAGCTTAAATTAATAATCCTAAAATTAATTCCAAAAAATTTTTGTTAAGCTTACTTATTTAGTGATTAGTAAACGAGAAAAAAGTTTAGCTTATTGGTTCAAAAAGAAAGATGAAATTAAGCAAAGAGATGCACGCATCATGCTGCATGCAAATGCATGCATCATAAATGCATGCATTTTGCATGCAGCGAATGAGATTTATATTCTCAAATGAAATGATAAGTTTATTGAAGCGACTAAAATGATTGATTGATGGATGAATAAATGGTGATTTTTGCGCTTTATTGATAGAAAATTTATGGAAACAATTAGCGGAATATTTCTGAAAGCTTGTAAACATCAATTTTATAAAATAATGCAAATCAATATTAATTAATCATATTGACAAAACTTTTTTCCATTTTATTATTCAATTCTTCCTACAATATTTGAAAAAAGCTAAATTGAATAAATATAAATTCAAAATATTTTCTTAATTAATAAATCAAAAATAAAATTGAAATATTAGATAAAATTAAGAATAAATGGGAGGGGGCAAAATAATTGATTATTAATTAATCATATTGACAAAACTTTTTTCCATTTTATTATCCAATTCTTCCTACAATATTTGAAAAAAGCTAAATTGAATAAATATAAATTCAAAATATTTTCTTAATTAATAAATCAAAAATAAAAATGAAATATTAGATAAAATTAAGAATAAATGGGAGGGGGGGGGGGCAAAATAATTAATCAATATTTAAATACAAATGAAAATTTGCATAGATTTTCATGGCAGAATAAATTAAAAGAGTTAAATGTAGTCGTACTTTCTTAACTTATATATTTAGAATTAAACAAAGTAAAAAGTATTAAAAGTAAAAGTAAAAAATAGCTAAGTTAAAATTATACTAATAAACTAAGCATTTATAATTAATCAAAATGCTTGAAATAATAATGAACCAAAAAAATTTCACACATAGCAGCAAACATTATAACAAATCAATTGAAAGTATTTTTTTTTTTTTTTTAAAAAAAAAGAGCAAAAAATATGGAAGCATTTAGTTTCTCAAAAGCTTTAGCATTTTGCTTCTTAGCCAAATAACTTCAAATCATTTCTTTCGCAGACATCAAAACAAATCAAAAATTTCGGATTATTATTTTTTTTTCTTTTTCCACTAAAACTAGGATCAAATATGCTAAAAATTTTTACTAAAATATTTTTTTATCAATTTTTTTCGTGCCATTATTGCTTAGCTTTTCAAAGATTTCGACAAAATGTGTGAGAAATTTGTTTAGTATTATTTGAAAAGGTTTTTTTTTTTTGATAACAGATATGATATGATATGATAAGTTTGAGTGATAGGAAGGAGCAATGAATTTAGCAAAAGAATGGGAATATATGAAAAGGAAAGAGATTTTTCTTCTCAATTTGGAAGCAATTTTTAAGACTATCATTGTCAATTTAGCTTGGAAAATGAAAAAAGCAAAGTGAAAAAAATATTTGAAATGTTTTATGTCAGGAATGAGTGATGTGTAGGAATTTCCTGATTGAAAATGAGTGACATGCGGGTATTTCCTGACTGGGAGTGAGTGATATGCGGAAATTTCCTGATTGAGAGTGAGTGATATGCGGTAATTTCCTGACTAAGAGTGAGAGATATGCGGTAATTTCCTAATTGAGAGTGATATGCGGTAGTTTCCTGATTGAAAGTAAGTAATATGCGTGCATTCTTTGTTCAGAAAAGTAAGTGAATAATTCTGTTCCAAGGATAAGTAATATAATGTTCAGGAATAAGTGATATGCGATAATCTCTATTCAGGAATAAGTGATATGCGATAATTCTCTGTTCAGGAATAAGTGATATGCGATAATTCTCTCTTCAGGAATAAGTGATATTCGAAAATTCTCTGTTCAGGAATAAGTGATATGCGATAATTCTCTGTTCGGCGATAATTCATGTGCGGGAATTCTCCGTTCAGGAATAAGTGATATGCGATAATTCTCTATTCAGGAATAAGTAATGTGCGAATTCTCTGAGGAATATATAACAGTGAATTAATTCTATGCTACAGCTAACAAATTAGCTTATTGTTAGAATTTACGCTATCATAAGCAGTGCTATATTCATGATTTGAACCGGAAATGGAATGTAACATTCATTGAATGAATGTATTTGCATGGAAATGGAATATATAAAATAAACAAATTATAGTAAATTGACAGAAAGTGTAAACATAATCAATACAACCACTATTTATTCATCAAAATCAAATATTTTCGCGATTTTCTCGAATTCTCGATTCCAACTTTTAGATTAATTTCAAATTATATTATCTATGCATAAATAATTTCATAAATAATGCTAATATATCATTTTAATTTAATTCTATCAAAAAAAAAAAAAAGAAATGTAAGTTTTTCTTAATTAATAAATTCATCCATTTAAGCTATAAATTTTCAAATTTTTTATAGTCATAGAAAAGTCATAAAAAATAAGAATTTTATTTCAAATAAAGGAAAAATTTTAGCAACAAATTATCGTTCTTAATGAGAAAATTATGCTTAGTAAAAAAAAAAAAAAAAATAATTGGTAAAATGTTAGGAAATTTTATTATTTGGTTGATTAAGTTTATTTAATTATTTAATTTTAGGATAGAAGAAAAAGAATTTTAGAAAAAAAAAAATAATTTTAGAATATAAGAAGAAGAAAATAGCAGCTGTATCAGTTGAATTTTCAGCTTTAAGATTAATCTTTTCTTATTATATGCTATTGCTGAAAATTCAAAATTCCAATTTTAGTATTTTTATTTTAGGATGAAATTTTGTAAAAGCATATTTAATTAAATTTTTATATAAAATATTGCAAAGCATTTCTTTGATTGAAATGCTTGAATGTAGTACTAATTGCACATATAAATCAAAAGGAGCGAATTCATAATTTCAAAAATTAAATTAAAAAAAAAAGATACAAAACAAACCATCCAGTCATTAACAGTATCCTTTGCCGGAGCATTATTCATAAATGAATTCTTTCTTCCGGTTGAACCTGAATATGATGACATATGAACAAGACGAGGTGAACCAATACGATATACGTGTTGTGATCCTGAAAATAATTCAATGGCAAATTAAATTGGAAATTTAAATTATTTACATCATTTTAAGCAACAATCAAATATGCTAATAAATTTCACTAAAGATAAGAATTGAAAAGAAAAATAATTATAAAATCATTTAGTTAATTAAACATTTTATTTAAACAAGAAAGTTGTTTAAATTGAAAAGATAAAAGATTAACAAATTAAAATATTACCTCTAAGTCTCATTTGCAAATAATATTACATTTTTAAAATAACGTTTAAACTTAAAATAAAATATAAATTGTGAAAATTTTTGATTACTCAAATAGATGAATGATGAGAAATGCGAAAAAAAAAAATTAAATTTCAAGAAAATAAATTTTCTTTTCCTTTTTTTTTTTTTTTTATTTACTCAATTAGCTAACATAATAATTCTAGAAATTGCGTGAACAAACATTGCTATTTCCTAAAGAAGATGATAGTATTTAATTAAATTTTTCCCTCATTTTTCATACAAACTAATAATTTGATAACATTTTCTAAAATTTAATTAAAAATAAAGCAATCTATATTTGCTGAAACACTTTTCAAAATGATGTAATTTTAATTTAAAACTTGTAAACTTAAAAAAAAAAAATTTATCATCTTTTAAATAAATCTAAAAAAAAAAATTGATATTTGAATTGAAGAAAACAAAAGATTATGTGTACTTTTCTTTTCTTCGTTTCATAAAATATAACCAATTGTAAAATTTTAACATTACAAAATAATTTTTTAAAATAAATTTTAATAATTGAAAAATTCAACGCTTCATTAAAACATTGAATTATAGCAAAAAAAAATAATTTAAACTTATTTATTAACTCTATAAGGTAATTTAATTTTCAATTAGTTAACAAAATTTTTGTCGGAAAAGAAAAAAAAAACGGAATTCTTCCATTGCAAAAACAAATTTACTTTTTTACTTCTAATTTCTTTTTTTTTCTTTTTTTCATTTCTTTTAAAATAACATAAAGTAAAATATATGTTAGAATGATTTTGCACCTATATTTCATAGCAAATATTTGAGATTTCTTTTACATATTTTATATTTTTATGCAATTTTATTTTTAGATTTAATTTTTTTTTTTCTTTTTTTTTTTATTTTTAGATTTAATTTCATATCATTCAATTATAAAACACAAAATATTTGCCATTCTTTAGAGTTTTATTGACAGATTAAATAGCAATATTTTAACTCAAAAAAAAGAAAGAATAAATAATAAAAAAAAAAAAAAAAACAAATGAATTCGTTCTTAAATTATTGTCTAATATTAAAATGAGCATTTATATTTTTGAATTTCTTTTACTTTTTGTTTAATTTTCAAATTATATTTGATTTATAACAATGTTATCAGTTTAACAAAAAAAAAAAAATATATGAAATATATTTAAAATTTTATTAAATTTTTTCAACTACAACAAATTTAGCCTTTTATTGACAAAATAACAAAAAAAAAATAATTTTATAAAAATATAAAAGTTTTAAAATTAAAAATTAACTAATATTTCATACCGTATGCTATTATTTCAAATAAAAAAAAAGTGAAAAAAAAAAATTAAATAAGTAAAATATTATCAAATTTTCTAATTTTAACACTTTTTTTTTTCATTTCATTTTCTATAGTTGTTAAAAGAAAAAATATTATCAAATTTTCTAACTTTTTCAATTTCTAAAATTTAAAAAAAAAAAAAAAAAGAAAGAAAGAAAAAGAATAATTTGCTAACAATTAGAATATATTACAAATAAAAAAGTGAAATGATTAGGAGTGTGAAATTATCGGCTATTTCAGTAAATGAAATAAAAGCAAAATTTTCTATTAGCATTTAAAAATCTTTTAAAATTACCAAGTTTTTTTTTTTTTTTTTTTTCATTAAGATTTATTTTAAATCTCTTCTTTGATTTTTCATTTTCTTCTCTTTTGCCTTTTCTCAAGAAATATTTAAAAAAAAATAAATGCTAATGAAATTGATTTTTGAGAAAGCTAAAATTTGTATTACTGTTATTATTATTATTCAGATTTGAAAGATTTAAATCTATCAAAATTAATTAATTTAAAAATTAATTAACTTTCATTCAATCATTTTATCATATTTAAATGAAATATTTCAAAGTATAAGTATATAAGAAAAATGAAAAATGCATTCAACAAATGCATTTTTTTTTCTAATAATTCAAAAAAAAAATGTTTATCAAATTTCAGGAAAAATTTCTTAGTTGTAAAATTATTTTTGTTAAATTTATTTAAAAAATATGTGAAAAAAGAGAGAGAGAGAGGGAGAGAGAGAGAGAGAAAAATTTAAAAAAGGAAAAATGGAATGGAATAAAACGGATATAAGTTGAGTTATTTCTTCATTTTCTCCTTTAAAATGTCAATCATTTCATTCAAGAGTTTCAATAAGGACAACAAAAATGCAAATTATCAAGAAAAGTCTTTATTCAATCTCTCCTCTTTCCCTTTCTCTCTGTCCCTCTCTCTCTCTCTCTCTCTCTCTTTATGTCTTTTTGATGATTATAAAAAAGCAAAAGCCATAAAGAGAGAAAATACTTTCATAGTTTCTCTTCTTCTCCTCCTCCTTTTTTTTTCCTTCATTTTATTCCAAAAAGTTTATTGACACAACTAAATTTTAACATTTAACTAAATTTAAGTTTCATTTCAAAAATGTATCGAATTTAAATTTAAAAAAAAAGAAAAAAAAAACTAAATGATTGAGTGAAAAAAAGAGAAATTACTTTATTAAAAAAGAAAAAAAAAAAAAAGAAAGAATTTTTGATAATTATATTAGTAAAAGCAAAATTCTTTATGCAATTTTAACGTTTATCATTCAAATAATTTCTTTTTTTTCTAAATTTTTATATTTCTAATAATAGACAACAAATAAACAATAAAAATATTTGAATATTAAAAAAAAAAAAATTGAAATTTTATATATTATCCTAAATCATTCATCAAAAAAAACTTATAATTTTTATAATTTTTTTCTTTTCAAATAAAAGAATTTAGATGTAGCAAAAAATTTAAATTCATTTTACAGATCATTTGAAAAATTTCATTTCATTTAAAACGATTAAAATTGCTTCATTAATCTTTAGCTATCAACAAAAAAAACAAAAACAAAACTCAAATTCATATTGAAATTTATTCAGTATAAATTTTGTTAGCTATTAGCACAGCTATTTTTCTATCTAAGATGCTTATATTTTTATTAATTCATAAATTTGAAATAATAATATTTAACATTTAATAGAACATAATTTAAAAAACAACGATTCAATTTCAGGTTTTATCCTATTGAAAACTTTGAAGTTACTTACAAATATTAAAATTAGTTTTGAAATTCGGATAAACTAGAGGATTTATAGTACTTCATAAAAGCAATTTAAGTAACATTTTGTTTTAGTAATTTTAAGCTTCATTTCTTCTTCCTAATGATTTCATTTATTTTGCCATCTTAAATTTTGAGTAATTTAAAAAATTATTTTATATGAATAAATTGAAAAAGAGATCATCGTTATCTTTCCTTATCATCTTCTTTTTTTTTAAAAATAACCTTAAACTTAACTTAAAATCTTTAATTTCTTTTTTTATTAAATTTAGAATCTAAAATTTACACTTCAAGTTTTCTTTTTTTTTTTTTTTGCTGTTATATTAATTATGTAAAGTAAAAGTGAATTGATGAATGAAATATTATTTATTATTATGGAATGAAAAATAAAACAAAACCAAAAGATATTTTTATATTTGTTTTGAAAATGAATTAGCTAAAAAAAAAAAAATAATTGAATTAATTAGTAATTAAATATAGAATGATGTAAGCTTAATTTAATCAATTTGAATGTTTGTATGTATCGTTGCTATCGATTTAACAAATGTGATATATGTTTTTGATAGAAGTAAACATAAATAAGTATTAATTAGATTCAGTAAAATAAATTCAGCGTAAATATTTGAATGGAAAGAAATGAAATGAAATGAAAGGAAGAAGGAGGAAAAGGAGGAGGAAAAGGAGGAAAAGGAGGAGGAAAAGGAGGAGGAAAAGGGAGAGGAAAAGGGGGAGGAAAAGGAGGAAAAGGAGGAAGGAAGAGGAAAAGGGGGGGAGGAAAAGGAGGAGGAAAAGGGAGAGGAAAAGGGGGAGGAAAAGGAGGAAAAGGAAGAGGAAAAGGGGGAGGAAAAGGGGGAGGGAAAGGGGGAGGTAGAAGAAAAGGAAAGGAAAAGAGGAGGAGGAAAAGGAGGAAAAGGAGGAGGAAAAGGGGGAGGAAAAGGGAGGGGAAAAGGGAGAGGAAAAGGGAGAGGAAAAGAGAGAGGAAAAGGGAGAGGAAAAGTAGAAGGAAAAAGGAGGAAGAAAAGGAGAGGAAAAGTAGAAGGAAAAAGGAGGAAGAAAAGGACAAAAATGTCAAAAATGTATATAATTTGTACTTGGAAAATCAGATAAATGGAAGAAATGCATAGAAATGGCTGTAATAAGATAAATTCAATTTTCAAATGATTTAAAAGAAATGAGAAAACCTTTGAAATAGGTGCATTGCTTTCCTTTCTTTTCTTTTTTTTTCTTTTTTTTTTTTTTTCCTCACTAAATTAAACTTATATTTTGCTAAACTTAAATCTAACTGAAGTATACAAATCTTTTGTTTTCTTGAATAGAGTAATCATTGAATAGCCTAAAAGCTTTTATAAACCTAACGCTTTCGCTTTAGGCTATTCCACTTTTTTCTAAACCTTTTAAATATAAAGAGAGAGAGAGAGAGAGAGGAGAGGGAGAGAGAGAGTAGAAAAAGGAATATCAAAATAAGGAAAGTAAAGTGGAATAAAGATTGAAATGAAGGAGGACCATTTAACTATGTAATAAGGTAAAACCTATAAAGATGAATGCCTCAATTATCAGACTTATATTGACTATCATTTCATTTTAAAATGCATCATGGAATAAAGCAATTGAGAGTAGTTTAGTAATAAGATGCTTGAAAAATAAGCTCATCTTTAGAGATATGAAATTTTTTATTTGAAATTATAAAAGTGATCCAATCATTTCACATTCTTAGACTATTCCAAAGCTTTAAAATAATAAAGCAAAAAGAAAAAAATGAAATTACTTTTTAGAATTTGAAAACTCAAAATAAAAAAAAAAAAAAAAAAGAGCATCAAAAACAGTAATGAAGAGTGGAATTTAGAAAGTAAAATTAAAAAGTCATTTGTAGATGTTAAATTATCAAAGGAATACATTTCTGTAACTGATAACATTATCACTCATCGTATGCTTATCAAAAAATCTCAAATGATTTTTTTTTTTTTATTGTTATAATTTGTTCATAACTTGTCAGTGGTATATATATATTCGCATGATATTTTATAATTGTTAATTTAATTTATGATAAAATAATAATGCAAATATTTGGTCATATTTTACTAAAAATTTGAATATTTCAAAAATTCAAAATTAAAAAGAAAACTATATGAAAAAGAGTTTTTAGTATTAATATATTTACTTCAATTATTAAACAACAAAAATAAGTAACATATAAAAAAAAAAAAAACAGAAAAATGAATAAAATATAATTTGCAAAAGAATTTTTGGGAAAATAATAAAATAAATTTGTAAGAGAAAGTATTAGTTTATTGATATGAGAGATTCTCGAATAACTTTGTTGATTTTTTATTAGGCTTTTTAGTATTACTTCACAATTTCAATTATTAAATATCATAAATATTTGTTTAATTATGTTTAAATTTTGATTTTTAATGAAAAATAAAAAAGAAAAATTTCGTTCCTATTTTTCTTTTTCATTTTTATCAATTTTTTTTTGTCTAATTCTTATCTAAAACAGTAATAAATGAAAAATTATATACTTGAAAAGAGGAAAAAAGCGCAATTCTAATTTTAATAACTATTTCATTTGTCACAAAAAAGTTGCAAAAACTATTATTTAATTCAAATTTTTCTCTAATTTTTCACTTCATTTTTCCTTTATTTCTCTCTCTCTCTCTCTCTCTCTCTTTCTCTCTCTTATTCTCCTTTTTAATCCAATATGCTTCTTTTTTTTTGCACATTTAAATGAACAATTTCAATATTAATTAATCATTAATTAATTAATTAATTCATCACAAATAGAAATTATTTTCATTGATAGGTATCTGTGCTATATTTGATGATATTATTTACATATTAGAAAAAGAAACAAATAGAAAATAAATAATTTTAGGCAAAAAAAAAAAAAAATTAGAAAAATTTTAATAGAAAAGAAGAAAATCATTTTTTTTCCTTCTTTAATTTCAATTATAGATGAAAGATTTATATACAGTGAAAAAGTAAGTAAATATGAAGTAAGTAAGTAAATGTGAAGTAAGTAAGTAAATATGAAGTAAGTAAGTAAATATGAAGTAAGTAACAATTAGAGTTTTAGATTTAGTAAATAAGTTTATTAATAATGTAATGAATCATATTATATGCACCATTTAGGCTATTCAATTTTCGGTCTAATGAAGATTACTTTTATCGCTATCTTTTCTTATTTAAATATCTTCTAATCTCTTCGCTCATTCATATACATAAGGAGTAAGTAAGTAAGTAAGTAAGTAAGTGAGTAAGTAAGTGGGTAAGTAAGTAAATAAGTAAAAGTTAATGCTTAAGCTTAACTGATTACATTATTATGCATTTCATTTTCCATCTCTCTGTCCAACGAGTACTGAAAGTTATTCAAGGTGTCAATTACCTTAATTAATTATAAATGAAAAAAAAAAACTTATTTTTTAGGCGCTAAAAAAAAATTAAATTTCGATAGTTCAATAAACATTCTAAACTTTGAATGATTCATACTAAACTATTGACTGAATAATTATGATAAATTTGTTGTAAATACATTTTAGATAAATTAAATTTGTGAATACAAAAAATTATATAATTATAAAATTTCTCACAAATGCAAACAATAATACAATACCATTGCAAATTAAACAAATTAAGCATTGAAATAATTGTAATTATAAAGTGGAAAATAGTAAACAAAATTGATTTTTTTTTTTAAAGTAATTTTGTCATATAATAAAAATTGAAATGAATTAGGTCATTAATAATTAATGTAATTCATTTTTAAAACTTATCAATTCATTCATTCCTTCATTATCAATCAAGTAATCAATGATAATACAATATATAAATGATCAATTTGGAAAGAAAATTAAAGTAGAAAAAATGATTAAATATATAAAATCACTAATCATTAAGCATATATTATGACAAAAATTCAAATTTATCAAAAATCATTGCTAAACTAAAATTCAAATTTATCAAAAATCATTACTAAACTAAAATTCAAATTTATCAAAATTCATTACTAAACTAAAATTCAAATTTATCAAAAATCATTGCTAAACTAAAATTCAAATTTATCAAAAATCATTACTAAACTAAAATTCAAATTTATCAAAAATCATTACTAAACTTTGATTATTGCAAAATGCATTGAAAAGACAGCCAAATGTTATATAAGCTACCGATGACCAGTAATTTCCATTTTATCGAAAAATCCTTGAGGAAATGATGACTGTCTCTCTGTCTACGAAGACTCTCTACTCTCTCTCTCCCTCTCTCCTCTTCTCTCTCTCTCTTTCAAACCCTTTTAACATCATTTCAAACAACCCTTTTCACTTCACATTTTCCACTTAGCTTTAAGCTTATCCAATTGACCTCTCTAACCAATTCACACATATATCTCTCATCCATCCATCCATCCATCCATTCATCTAATACTTCAGAATAAAATATGAATATAAACTACCTAACTTATCGGTTTTTTTTCTTTTTTTTATATTTCATTTTATTCTCTCTCTCTCTCTCTCCCTCTCTCCCTCTCTCTCTCTCTTATTCAATATAATATAATTATTTTAATTTCAAAAAAAGCGAATAGAAAAAAAAAAGTGTCCAGAACGAATTAAATAAGCGATTGCTCATTTATTTTACAATATAAAAAAGAAAACAACAACAAATTTCTCTTTTATTCGACAATTATATATGCATTAGGAAAATTTTGAAATTTAAAAAAAAATTCAATCTAAAATTTGATTAATCAATCACTAAAAATTCTAGAAATAATCATTTGCTCTTTTTTTTTTTTTAATAAAAAATTATCAAAATATTCAATAATTTTCTTTCTTTCTTTTTTTTTTTTTTTTTGAATAAATTACAATCACTTAGAATTATTGTTTATAAAATAAAATAATTTACTAATAAAATAACTAAAATTTCAATAAATTAAATAATTATTATATTGCAAAATGAGTAAATATTTGTGTGAGAATTCATTAAATAACTCATTTAATCAAAAACAAAATTTAAGTATTTTTATTAATTTTTTAAGTATTGAAAAAGAAACTTTCTGTTACAATATGACATTAAAGTTCAAATTTGTCAACCTAATAATATCACTAAAGAAAATAATTATGCATGAAAAGATTATTTATTTAAACATAAAATAAAAATAAATAACAAAAAAATAAAAGTGTAAATAATAATAAAATAATAAACAAACCTTGTGCTAGCATATCCAATATCATTAAACCATTGAAATTGACACCTGTGATAAAACCTTTATAGCTATCATAGATTTGTTCACGTTTACGTCGTTTTGTACGATGTAATAAATTAAACGATGCACCAATTGCTATTCTCCATTGCATATTTAATGTCACAAGTTCCATATCACCACCTGATATTTTCAAGAAAAAAAAAACAAACAAATAAACAAATAAACAAACAAACAAAAAATGTTATATTTATAGTTAAATTCTATCATAGATATTCCATCTATTTAAGCGATATTAAAGACATTTTATTTTCTCTCTGACATATATATATTTTTAATTCATAATTAATTTACGGTGTGCTTACTTCATTGGTTGGTTAAATTTATTTAATTGAATTCTAAAAAAAAAAAGTAAATAAATAAATTCACTAAGTGAAATGAATAAATTATTTTTTTTTTTTTTGCAAAATACTTGGAATAAATTAGATGAAAAGTAATCTAATACCAAGAGGAGAGTAATAAATTGGTTCACGATTATCAATGTATAAAGTTAAGTTAGCTTCTTGTCGATAAATGATAACAGCATGATGCTTATCATCATTTAGTAAAGCACTTGATAAGCCAACATCATGATCACGAGATCCAAGATTGTAACGAATATGCAAATGAGCATTTTTCTGTAATATCGCTTTTTTTTTTTTTTTTTCAAAAATTTTGAAAATTATTTCAACTACAAAGAATATATTATTTCTTCTTTATAATTGATCATATCAATGAAAAATATATCAAATAAATAATATAAATATTATTTTTTCAACTTGTAAACATCAAATTTCAACCTCAAAAACCAAAATTCCAAAAAAAAAAAAAAAAAAAAACAAAAAATTGAAATATTTTATGAAATGAATTAAAAAAAAATCTAATGAATTAGCAAATATTACTGATTAAATTTTAATACCAAAAATTTTAGTACCAAAAAAACAGTAAGAAAGTCGCCGTCAACATTACATTGTACACTTAATAGTACAGCATTAGCTTGTCGAGTACGAAATCCAATTGCCATTTCATCTCGATTTGTTGATGGTTGAATTGATTTTGGATATTCATAATAAATTGCTGATAATGATGAGTCAAATATATAAGTTGTACCAACTATAAATAAACTAAATATTATTTTTTCAAATAAAGAAACAAAAAAATGCAATTTTAAATTTTTGAAATCAATTTAGTTAATAAACTTAAATTTTTTTAATCGAACAAAAAAAAATAGTAAAAATGATTGATTTAATCAAAAAAAAAAGTAGTAAAAAAAGAAGAGTTAATAAAAGTGATTAGTTAACAAATTTAAAATTTCAATATAAAATTTAAAAAGATTTAAAAAAGAGAGAGAGAGAGTGAAACGAACAGTTATCACATCTTTCGCCAGCATAAGTTGTCATTGAGCAATCACATTTTGTGGAATTCCATTTTTGAATACATTTTCCACGATTTAAGCATATTTTAGGTGAGCATCGAGTATGTGGTCCTATTATAATTTCAATCAAAATTTCAATCTTTTCTCTAAGTCTATCAAAAGTTTTATCAAAAAAAAAAATAATGCAAAAATGTGAAGTTAATAAGAAAATTTTTTTTAAATTTGGAAATGGTAATTTTAATTAAATTGCACAAACAATTAAATGAAGAAATTTCAACAGACAAAGTAATAGGAAATTTAAGATAATTTCATTTAAATAAAAAATTTTAACTGTAACCGACTTTTTCTCAAAAAAAAAAAAAAAAAATCAATAATAAAATAGAATTTTGAAAATATAATTATGCCTTACTTACCATGACATCCTTTCACAATACCAAAACTTTCTATTGCATCTTTTAAAATATCTAAATATTCATTACCAATTCGGAATGATGAGATACATCCATGAAAACCGGAAATATTTTTAAGCCTAAAAAAAAAAATTAATTTATCAAAAAACAATTATACAAAATGACAAATATAATTAAAAAAAAAAAAAACGAAAATAATTATTTGAAAATTACATGAAAATATTCTAAATTATTTTTTAAAAAAAAACGAAAGTTTTTATTTTATATCACAAAAGATGAGAAAAAATAAATAAATAAATAGAAAAAAAAACCTTAGAAAACCAGAAATACCGGATGGTATATCACCAATATATAATTTTGTATGTAAATTAACAATATGTCCTCGAACATTAGACATTACTATGCTGCTATTATCAATCACAACATTATGCTCACCACCTAATGATTTCTGAAAAAGTTGAATTTATTCATTTTTACATAAAACAGCAAAAATAATTACAGTATATTAAGTTTGAGTAATTAATTAATTAATTAATTGGTAGAAACAATTTTAGATTGGATGATATGAAAAGAGAAAGTGAAACAAAAATTTAAATTAAAATTAAAACAAAATTAATTGAAAAATATGACTAATAGTTGAATCTAATTTAATCGGAATTGGAAATTATAAATTCTTCCAAATTTATTTCTATATATTATATTGAAGTTAATCAAAGCATTTTGACTATTCATACTTTTCATACAAAATGCCCAAAAATAAAATAATTATATAATAATATTAAGAAAATTTAACTTAAATAAGGAATGAAATACATTCTCAGAAATGATAAACACTAAGGAAAAAAAAAATTAAGTCTTATCAAAATTTATGCAGAAATTTTCAATTTTTAAACTCTAAAAATTTTATAAAAGACTTATTGCATCAGTAAATTAATTAATCCTAACTAAAAACAAGAAATTTATCCCAAATTTACTATCATTGATAATTTTGATTTCATTTAAGAAAGCAATCTGAGATATTATTAAAATGTAATAAGCTCTAATTCTAATAGCTAAAACAATAGCTTATATGCTAATGCTAACATTTGAGTAAATTATTCTTTAATAAGATTAAATGATAGCAATATTTAATAAAAATTTGTACAGGTGTTTTTCAATTAATAATAATAAACCTGAAAAATGATGACACTATGCCATTTAAAGTCATTTAAAACTTGTCCATCTGGTAAAGCTGGTGACATTATCACTTCTGTTCGTGTGCTAAAGCTATAAGTGTACCTGAAATATTTGCTATTTAATTTAAATTAAAAAAAAAAAGAGGAAGTAAATCATTTCTTTCAAATGAGAAATGAATATTTAAATCTTTTAACTTAAACATAAATGTTTAACCTTTGGCATTCATAGAATCAAATAATTTTAATTTTTGTTTATATTACATTTATGATGTTAACAATGCAAATAATATACTAGCGTTTTTGTTAATAGTAGCATTAACATTTCAAAAATTGTTTTCTTCTTTTTTTTTATTGCTAACTGGAATAACCTTTGACCCTTTATTGTTAAATAATATTATAATGGTAGTGAGAAATTGCTAACCTTATTCGACCATAATGCAATTCCAAAGATGCAAAATCATTATTGTAAGTGGAATTAGTTAAAAATGCAAAGAGCATTGCTGACGGCGACAGTGTGCGAAATTTAAATGAAATTCGATAAATATTTTTAATACTCATCAAATGCTTATCATTTATCATTGCATATGCATTGTGTTTTTCGAATGTTACAGATGAAGATTTTACTTTCCTGAATTTAAAAAAATTTATTTAAAAAGAAAAATAAAGAAGAAAGTAAAAGAATTTATTATATTAATTGAAAAGAATTTTTAAAGTATAATTCAAATTTTTTTTTTTTGCAACATTTTTATTTAAAAAAAAAAAAAAATTTGAAAATTAATTCATCATTATTTTCTTTTTTTTTTCCAAAAATTACGTATATATTTTAATTGATTTAAATAAAATTTAACTTTTTCAATTTGTTATCGTTTGATTAAGAAAAGCTTTTTGTTTTTTGTTTTTTTTCCTCAGTCTTTATACTTTCATTATGTTGAAAATAATTCAAACAAATTATTTACAGAAATTGTCACAACATTTGATAACATTTGAAATTTAAGACTATTAAAGATTAAATATACTTAAAGTACTTAAATACTTAAAGATAATAAATATGATTACATAGTAATTAATAAGTGCAAATACTTTAAAATTATATCTATTCAAGTAATCCCTTTGAAATTACATCAATATTAGAAAATATTTATGAAAAATTTTAAACAAACCTAAAAATGATAATTTTGCTAATAATAATAATAATAATTTAATAGATATTAATATAAATTAAAATAAATACCTATTCTTTAATTTATATCGATCACGTGATGGAATCATTTTTTCTGATGGATTATTGATCGGATTTCGACGTTTTACACTCTTCAAAATATCGAAATCATTGAAAAGCATTTTTATCATTTGTCCGCCAAATTTCTCTTCCAATGTGTCATTTGCGCGTGCGGTAAAATGTGTGGATGACATTGCATGCAATGAATGTCCAGCAGATATCTCATCAATATCTAATACTAATTTAGAAGAAGGCAGAAAATCTAAAATTAATTAATATCAATAATTTATATTATATTCAAGTAAGTAAGTTTATTTTCTAATTCATATATAAATCATTTAAAAACAAATATTTAAATCAATTTTATCAATTTATTTCATTTTTTTTTGATAATTTCAATATTAAAAATTTAATATATATATGAAAAACTTAACATTTAATAAATAACAAATTGTATTTATATGTAAATATTTGAAATTCTAAAATGTTAGCGGTTTGAATTATAAAGAAAATTCTTTTTTATTTAAATGCAAAAATTTTAAAATTGCTTTTTTTTTTTCTTAAATATTATATTTTAAAAAATATTTTATGAAAAAAAAAAAACTTACAATTATGTTCCCATTTACCATCTAAAAATAGCAATAATTTCTCGCCACGTCGTTTAATACGCATTGAATGAATTCGATTATCATTTAAATTAATACCCCAATTGAACACCTGCAATTTTTCCTTTTTGTTTAATTAATTAAAAGATTAAAATTAATTATTGATTTGTAATTTAAATAAAATAATAACAATGCTTTACAAAAAATACTACTCGCAAACATAAAATCTTTTATTATCAATATTTTTACTAATTAATCTTTCATATTTTTTATATTAAGATGAAATATTTTCTATTTATAAATGAAATAATAATAAAATTTTAAATTAAAATTTTAAAATGAAATAATAGTTTTGACAAAAAATAAGATATCAGCCTTAAGAAAGAATAAACGAGAATAACAAAGATTTAATTGAATTCAAAAGAAAGTCCTTACGCTATTAAAAAAAAAAAGAAAAGCTAAAGTGATAATTAATTTGGTGACAATCTGGTGACAATTAATCACTGACAAAAAAAAAAAAAAAATTACATTATTTCTGCAATTTTTTCACTAAATAAAAATGCTATAATTCAAAAATAATTGATTATATACTTAACAAATATAATTTCAAATTAACTAACTTGCTGATATCATTAATCAGTCATAAATAAAAGCTAAAATATGGAATAGATTGAACATTCAATTAAATTAAAGTTCAAACTCATAAAACACACTCAATGTTCAATCCTTTATCAATGCATCTTTTTTTTTTTTTTAAAAAAAAAAATTTCATCTCATCTAAATTTATTTATTGAAATTTCAAGATAAATTACATGATGGGAATTCTCGAAATTAAGATGCAATTCAAGTTCTCCATCAATTAGTAAAAGTAAAATGCGATGATTTGGTGATTTTATTGATTTTGTATCCAACAAAACACTTCGTTCATTGATACTTCGAAATTTACATTCAATTGTTTCCGCTTCACTTTCAATAGATTTTGGTAGTAAAAGCGATGGTACATTATTTGTCGAAAAATCCACATATTCAGGTTCTAAATTTTAAATTTAATTTTTTAAAAAATTTTTTTTTGTAACTTTAAATTTTTTTATTTTTTAAATTTTTTAAACTTTTTTTCCTGATTTTATCATTTACTGTAACATATTTATCAGTGTTAAAATAATTCTGCCATAATTTAAATTATATATGTTAAAATAATTCTGCCATAATTTAAATTTTATATTAATTCTACCATAATACATAGGAAATTATTTACAACAACAATGAAAAATTACAAATAATATTTCAATTTCAAACTATTATTCAAATTATTTCAAATTATGTATTCAATTAAATATATTTGCAAATAATCTTTAAAAAGTGAATTTAAAAATGAAACAAAAAAAAAAAGAAATGTTTGATAAAGAATTAAAAATTAATAAAAAAAGTGATAAAAAAACCTTTATCACAAAGTGTTCCTTCCATAGCTGATACTGAACAATCACATCGAAAACTATTATAACCATTCTCACATCGTCCAAAATTTTTACATGGTGATAAGGCGCAAAAGTCCTGATTTACATTAGCTGAACAGCCATAGCTAATTCCTGTGATAATTATTTCATTAAATTTACATTAATTAATTATATTCCTAGTTATTGATAATGATTACGTATTATCAATACCAAACAATTATGCTATTACTATCAATACCAAAAAATTATTTTATTGAACTTCAAAAATCATTCAAATGCAATAAACAAAATAAAATTTAATTTTATTGAATATTGTAAAAAAAAATTTTAAAAATTTTAAAATAAAATATGTGTATTAAAAAATAAATTACAGTTTTTTATTTAGAAGAAAAAAAAATAAATTATTCAATATTTGAAGTAAAAATTAATTCACTAAAATATATTATTAATTAATATTTTAAGCTTTAATATTGTTTGAGAATAAAGAAATACAAAATACTTCGTTTAGAAAATGAAAAGAAAGAGAGAAAAAGAATTTTTGGAAAAAAAAAAAAGACATTTCAATTTAGAAACTTATTGTCGTGAAAGACGAAATATTTAAATTATTATATCCAAAACTAACAAATTCCTCTTATCTAATTCCTTTTCCTCACACAACAAAAACCCTTTGTTAGCAAAACCCTTTATTAGCAGTCTTTGTTTCACATCAGTTAAATATCCTCTGCCGGATATCTGGTCAGCTCAGTTCTGCATATAAACAATCGTCCTCCATACGGTGGTTCATTCTGCATTTTGGGGTGGTTTTGATATCATTTTAATGTTTTATAGATATATTTTTCGTTACGCGTTTGTTAATCGGTGTAGCATCCGTACGATATGTATAAAGCGCTATTATTTGCTTCATGTTAAATAAAGGTTTAATTACCCAAGTTTGAGGTTTCACGACACTTATTGGCAGGTATGACAGGTATCATTTGAAAGAAAGTACGACATTTTAGCTTGAATGAATGAGTGATGGCTTAAGGATAGTTTTACTTTAGTAAGTCTAAAGTTTGTACTAATATGTACTTTAAGTTGAGAAATAAGTAAGTACGGAAGATGTTGACATGTTGAATAAATGAGACAACAAATTTTGTGGAAGAATTAGAAAGAAAGAATAAGTTTAAAAAGTAGAAAAAGCAAATTGATATTTCCAAAAATTGGCATTTTTTTAATTAAAAAAGAGGAAACATATGTAAAAGAGTAATTGATTTTGAATTTATGTTACGCAATGCCGCTATGATATAGCAGTTTGAACTTATGTGTCGAGCAATTCCGCTATGATATAGCAGTTTGAACTTATGTGCTGGACAATCCCGTCATTTTAAATATGCAATTTTGAATTTATACGTTTGTGATGATAATGAATTGCTACTCTGATATGATTAAGTGATTGATAAGATTGATAAGAATGTGAAATCAACGTTCATTATAACATCAACTAACCTTTTTTAAAATTCTTTTGTTGTTCCTGAAAAATGTTTGCAATATTTGGGCTGATACCATTGATGCGTATTCCTTTCAGACAGCCAATATAACCTTTTCGTAGATTTGCTGTCCAAATCGGAGAAGGTACATGAAAGTCAACCGGATCCGATTCATTACTTGGCCATGGTACAGCTCCCAAATAGATTGGTTCTTCTATAACCGTAAACATATACTAATAATACTGTGAAAACAAAAATATTTAATTTATAAGATTCATATTTTTTTTTTTTTGCAAATGATTTAAGTAAAAAAACTTTATGAAAATTTTGAAATATTGAAAATTTTTTTATACATTTAAACAACTTTTATCAATCAAGTTTATCATTTTTCTTCAGTAAAAATTTTTAAAAATCTTTTTTTTTATTTGAAATTAGCCGCATTTCATGTATTTAAAGTAATTTAAGTTCAAATATACAATGAAATTCAAATTGCTAATTTACAAATCTTTTGTTAAAATTTACTTCAAACCAAACTGGAAAAAATCGATTAAACTGATTATATATTCAAAGTTATCTTTCAATAACGATTTGTTTAAATTATGGAATTAGCAAGGTGTTAAATAATATATAATAAAATTTGTTAGAAAAAAAATAAATTAATTAAAATATGCATTACCGATGATTAAATTGGCAGACACACCAGGTGTTGAAAAATCGGTTTTAATATTATCAACGATCACTGTACCACTCCGTCCCATCCGTTCAAGCGTTACGCTGTGCCATACCGCTCCATCCGTTATTTTTTCCGCTGTTGTCTATAAAAAAAATGAGCTACTACCTTTGTTACCTTAGCAACCTTAATGACACCTTATGATATTTTTGAAATTTTCGTTTCGTTTTTTTTTTTTTAAATTATATTGATTAAATTATTTATTTGCTAACTTTGAACAATAATTTAACTTTTACTAAGCTATTTGGAAAAGACAAATTTAAAATTGCTAATCATGACAGAATTAAATTTGGCATTTTTTGTGGAAAATTTAACCACCTGTAATCTAATATGTCCTGATCCTAGATTAATAATCATAAATAGATGACCATCAATTAATTCAAATGCAAAATAATCATATCCTGTTTTTGTGGTTGGCAATGATCCATGATAAAGAATAAGGCCATCAAATTCTTGTGTTCGTAACTGAAAGCCTGAAATTCTCTGAAAAAAATTATACAAAATTATACATTTTTATTATAAAATTAAAATAAATTTTTTCATATTATTTTTTTTTATTTTTTTACTTTTAAACTTTCATTTTTTTTTTTTAAATAATCATAATAACATCAATTATAATATTTAATTTTATTCAACAAAACGAAAAAAAAACAGTTGCCAATTTGAAGAATAAATTAAAAAAAAAAAAATTATTCCAAAAGAAATAAAATATTTAAAATATGAAAAAAGAAAAGCAATGAATGAATGAATGAATGGATGATTCTCGTAAAATATTACAAATTTCAATAATTAATTTAAATTTTATTAAAAATTAAAAATTACTCAAACTTCCGCTAGCAACAGAATTCCATTTGGGTAATGTAATAAAATGTTGGCCAGTATTAAATGAGAAAACATCTGCATATAATGCTTGTTTATTACATGAAAATGTTAATTCGCCAGCTGATCGTATGATTGATTGGCCATATCCTTGATCAGCTAATGTGATAAAATTGATCAAATATGCATCAGCTTCATACTTAACCTAAAAAAAACTAAAAAATCATATAAGTAATTAAAAGAAAATAAAAAATTATATAAGTAATTAAAAGAAAAAAAAATCATATAAGTAATTAAAAGCAAAAAAAAACATTATATAAGTAATTAAAAGAAAATAAAGAAATCATATAAGTAATTAAAAGAAAAAAAAGAGAGCTATTCTTGACAAATAATATTTTTATTTTTTTTTTAAGGAGAGAGAAAGAAAAATAAAAAAAAAAAACCTTTTTTAAACAACCATAAAAATTTTCCACATCAATTTCAGGAATATTTTTATTCTTTGGTATACCACCCAAATAAGCAAATGAATTAACAAGCCAATCAATTTCAGGCGCATATTGTCGAATTTCATCGTTTAAATTATCAACAATTAATGTCATCTAAAAGAAAAAAAAAAATAAACAAATCAATGCTTAAATAATTAAAATAACGCAAAAGTTTTTTTCTTTTTTTTTTTTTTAAAGAGAAAAAAACAAAAAAAAAAAAACAGAAAAAAAAACAAAAGAATTTTGTCGTTTTTTTAGCAATTAAAAAAAAATTTTTTTCTGTTTTTCATTCTTTTATTCAAATTTTCAAAAAAAAAAATATATATATATATATATAACAAATCAAAATTTTAATTCTTTCAAAAATCTGAAATAAGAAAAATCTTTTTTTTGTTTTATTTATAGTTCAATCGATTAGTGAATTGATCAATCTATCAATCAATCAATAAATTACGACAAAATTCTAATTTTTGCTGCTACTTTTTTTGAACAAAATGATAGCAAAAGTAATTTTTAAAAAAAAGTAAAAAAAAAAAATAAAAAATAAAATTATTAAATTATATTCCTTAAAATAAGAAAGACACAAGCAGATAACTCTGATCACACAAAAAAGTTTACATTTTGATTATTTACTGAATTTTTATTACTCATTTTATCTAAATTTTATTAAAAAATTACTTAATTCATAGAATTTATGCAAATTTTTTAGATTGGAAAAAAAGAAAAAAATGAACAGCAAATTAAGTTAAATGTTTATTTGTATTTAAAAATATATATTTATACTTAATTAAACTAACTTCATCTCTTTTAATAATTCTATTAAAGTGCTTAAATTATCTGTAAAAAAAAAAACTTTCTTACTGTATTAAAATTTGAATCCAATAAAGGCAAAAATTATATCAATCTTTTATCATATGGCAATGAACAATTTTAATTTATCCAAATTCTTTCTATTAAAAAACAATTTTAATTTATCAAATTCTTTTCATCAAAGACAATTTTAATTTATCAAAATTTTTTCTGTTAAAAAACAATTTTAATTTATCAAAATTTTTTTTGTTAAAAAACAATTATCACACGAGAAGACATTTGTGCAATCCATGCAATTGTGACTAATAAATCTATAATTTTTTAATTAATAGTCTTTTGTTAATTAAAATTTGTTATTTTTTTTAAAGTAATTATTTTTTAAATATTAATAAAAATAATTATAGCTAAGCTAATTCATAGCTTTCCTGTTTGTTTGGCTATCTTTTCAGAATTAATTAGACTAAAATAAAAATTTTATGCTAAAAAAATAAATAAAAATTTTTTTTCATAGTTTCACAAAATGCACTTTGTTATTAATAATAACAGAAAAAAGAAGAAAAAAAATTGATACAACTTGAAAAATAAATTTGAGTAAAATTTTGACAAAGAATTTGCATAAACAAATTAGAATACTCGGAAAAATACACATACGATAAACAAATTTTATGTAAATTGTAAAAAAAAAAAACTTTTTTTGGTTAAATCGAGCAAAAATTTCGTAAAATTTTTTAAATGCATAAAGCATAAATTTTTGGTCAAAAAAAAAAATAGCAAAAATTGAAAAAATTTTTTCAAAAATTTACTGAAAATAAAGAAAAAATTATTTCCAAAAAAAAAAAAAAAAAAAAAAAAATGAAAGAAATGAGAAATGTTATTTGCTAACAGAAAGATTGATAACAAAGCCATGCTAAAATCTCTAAAAATAAAAAAAAAAAAAAACAAAGAAAAAAAAATGAAACGAAATTTTAATAAAATAAAATAAAATAAAAAAAAAAAAAAAAAAAAAAAGGAACTCATTTTTGGCACACCTCAATCGATTACTTACATGTACTGAAGCGACAGATGTCGTTCGCTGAAGTTGTTAAGTTATCAGTTTCAAAATTTTCTATTGATAAGCTGTATATTTGAAATATATTATCATCACTGAAGTGATTAATAAATAACTCAGTAATATGAATGAAAGGAAAGAATTCATTTCATTTATTTTATCATTTTAAATTAAATTTAAATTTTTAAAAAATTTCTTTTTTTATTTTTTATAAATGATTTAACAGAAGTTTATTTACTTATGCAACTTTTCAAAATTATTCATTTTGAAATGTCAAAAATAATTTTCAGCTGTCTAAACTTGAAATAATCATATAATAAATGAAAATTATCATGAGATGAAGTGTGTACTAATAATGAATTTATTTCACATTATATTACTTTGCAAATTTTTTATTTTCATTTTGCAAAAAACAGCTAAACAATAATTCAAAGATTTTACAAGATGATTGATAAATTTTTGGAATAATTTAAAATGAAACCACTAACATAATGATAAGTTCAACAATTTATAGAAATTTTTGGAAATGATAAAATATTTAAAAACCGGAAAACTAAATTACCAACCAATGTTAATGTCCTGAAAACAGTAACTGTATGCCATCGATCATCATTATATCGACCGGATGGATAATTGTTCAAAATTCTTATTATCCGTTTTTCAGTTCCATCAAATTTTGATGTTGCAACAACTGCGCCATCATCCAATGTGATATGAATGTAATTCTACAACAAAAAAAACTGTTTTTTTTTTTAAAAAAAAATAGGAAAAGCGACTTAAGTAAAACTTTTTTATTTTAAGCTCTCAAAAGATTTGCATAAAATGTTTTAATTTGAATTCTCAAAAGAATTATTTTAAAATTTTAGTTCAAACTCTCAATAAATGGTATTATTTCTTATTCAATTTTCATCATTTTTAATATTTCTATTTGCTAGAAAATTTAAAATGTTTTAAAAAAAATTTCAAAGATATACCAGACGATCACCACCGATATATAGTAGAGCTCGTGAATGTGTCGTTTTAAAAGACAATGTAATATTTTCTGATCGAAAACGTATAATTCCTGCCGAATTATTGCTAACATCATAACCAATCAATTCTCGACCATTAAATGATAAATGCGAATCAAATCGAACTAAAAAAAAAAAAAAAAAAAAAGAAAAAAAAAGATCAAAAAATTATCATTAAATTATCATTTCAACTAACAAAACAAAAGAAAAGATATCAGTTAATCAAATCAAAGTGGTAAATAAAATATGTTAGATTCTGTAATTTTGACAATTTTAGTTTTGTAACTATTAAATGTCTCTGTGATTGGAATATTTCAAATTCAAATTTCACTCTCGAATACTTCAAATTCAAATTTTACTCTCGAATACTTCAAATTCAAATTTCACTCTCGAATACTTCAAATTCAAACTTCACTCTCGAATACTTTAAATTCAAATTTCACTCTCGAATACATACCTTGTTCACAACGTTGGCCACGGAAATCCGTAAATGAACAGTCACACTTTGGTCCATCGTTTGTGCTATAGCAAATACCACCATTTCGGCAGAAATAATCATTTTTGCTAGCAATATTTGTTATTTTGCAGTAATCATCGTCCGATTGTCTCATACCAACACTTTCGATTATTTGTGGTGCTGTGACACCTGTAAATTAGTCTAATAAAAATTTAAAAATTTTTTTTTTAACAAACAAAAAATGAACAAATGAGGTAAGCAAATGATATGAGAAGTAAGTAAACGTTAAGTAAAGGTGCATACAAGTACAAAGGTAAATTGATAAATATTTATATAAATAGGAAGCGCAAATATATATTTTAAATGAAAGAGTTAAAATCATAAATGTAAGATATAAATAAAATTAAAAAAAAAAACAATAAACAAAATGTAAAGTAACAATAAATGTTAAGTAAGTAAGGGTAACCTTGTGGGTAAAGCCTATACAATAAATTTTTTACTCCACCAGCAAATGAAATTGTATGTCGTTTCAATGGTGAACTCATTGCGCCAAGCAAATAAGTATCCTTAAAAATTTATTTTTAATTTATCATAGAAATAAATTTGAATTAATCACTTTCCTTTTTAGATTATCATTGAGTAAAATTAAATTAAAAAAAAAATTTAATTACATATTCAAAAAAAAAAATAGAAAGAAATTGTAACAGTTTTAATTACATATTAAGTAACTTTAATTACCTATAAGACATAAAAAGAAATTATTAAAAAATAAATTTCAATTTAATTAATCTAAAAAAACTAAAATAAAATGTGGTAAATTACCTTCGGAACACCACCGATAAACATATCAGAGTTTGTTTTCAGATTACCAAAAACAAAACTATTTTGATTGAGAATTTTGAAAAGAACGGTGTCATCCAATTGTAATTTTACATTTTCCCAGGCCTAAAATAAATTTGAGAAGCTCAGAAAATAATAATTATTCAACATTTTATCGCATTCAAATAACTTTAAAATTACTTTTGTGAAATATTTAAGCGATAAAATTATATTATTTTTAAATTTTAAAATACAGAGAATTTTAAGTAAAATATAAATTTAAATTTAAGATAAAATGCACAAAAAAAAAAAAAAATTTATAATTTATATTTGACCGATTAGAATAAAAAATTAAAAGAGAAAAATCATTTTGTTTTTTGTTTTATTTCAGAAAATTAAAATTCATTAATTCATCCTATTAAATTATATCTTATCAACTTTAACATTATCTGCTAGCTAAATTATTGAATTAGCCGAATAATCCGTTAAACAGTCAAAAAATCTGCTAATTAATTTTTTATGAAGCACAGATTAGCATAATTTTTTGCTATCATATAAATAAAACCTGAAATAAGGTAAGTCGATGCCATCGATAGTCGCTTACTTCGATGTCATTTAATCGCATTGTGACAACTGGTCTCTCTGATGACAAATAATTTGTTTCATCTCCTAATCTATAAAATTTATTAAATTTTTGTAAAAATTTTCTATTAAAAAAAAAAAAAATTATTTTAAGTTTAAGTTATAATAGTAATAATAGTTAATGAGTGAAAAAAAAAACAAAAAAAAAAGCTTAAATATTCAATTTATTAGTAATAAATGCGAGAAAAAATTAGCTAGCACTTGAAGAGAATTACTTACATTATTAGTTGAAATTTAAAAATGATGAAAAATTATAAATGAAATAATTTGAAGAATTGTATTATATACTTTTGATAACATTGATAACACTGATAAAAAAAAGCGAACTTTTTTTTGAGAATAAATTTTAAAAAATTCATAAGAAATTAAAGAATTGTTTATTTATAAAATTTATGAATGAAAACTTTTTGGTTTGTTTGTTTGTTTTTTTTTTTTTGCAATACTTTTTTTTCTGCTAAATATTTGGATAAATGCTGAGATGATCAAAGTAACTGATATGATTAGCAATTTTATTATCATAAAAAAATATATCACTGATAGCTTCATAGTACTAATAGATGTATGAAGCCTAAATGTACTTTCTAGCAACAAATAAAAAAAATTTTTTTATTAAATGAGTTAAATGTATGAGATAAAAAAACTTTTTGATTATTGAAACAAATTAAAAATTATTTAATAATTATTATTCTAAAATTTAAAAATAAAAAAATGTTTTTCTTTTAATTAAACAATTTTACTTAAATATTAGTTATTTTAATCATTTTCTTAGCTAATATTAGTTAAAAATTTTTTTGATAAAATGCCTAGGAGAGGTATTTTTCATTTAAATTAATTATTTTAAATTTTATTCTTACCTAAAATCCAATTGTAATTTCTTATTTGTAATTGTAAGAGAAAAAAAATTTCCTTGAATTCCACCATCATCTGTATATAACAATAGTGCATTAGGTTGTTTGGTTCGAAAATCCAATGATAATTGATTTTCAAATGTATGCATCCATTTAGGATATCTGTAATCTTTCCTTCTTCTTATCAATTAAATAATTATTTAAAGTTAATTAAAAATTTTAATCAAAAAAAAAATAAACAAAATTATGCAAAATTTGAAATATTTATATTGTTGTGAATTGAATTATGCATAAGTTACCTGGCATATGAACCAGGTGCTCCAGAAAGTAATATAGCATTCGATCCATCAGCTAATAAAATTATCAATAAAAGTAATAATTTTAATAAATTGAAATATTGCCATAATGAAGTTTTTAATTTGTTGCTAACAATAGGAATAGTTAATTTCGAATAATTTTGAAGGCAATTTATGATGAAAAAATTAGCAGTGCAATAAATTGATATTGATTTGTTATGATTATAATTGATCGATGATACAGCAGTGATTGTCATAGAAGTTGACAAAAACGAGGTTGATAAAATAGTTGATGATGATGATGATAGGGATGATAATGATGATGATAGGGATGATAATGATGATGATAGGGATGATAATGATGATGATAGGGATGATAATGATGATGATAATTGAGGTGACAATGATGTTGTTGCTGTTGTTGCTGCTGCTGCTTTCATAGTTGACAATTTTGATATAAACCATTTGGTTTGAAATGTTATTGGACTTTGTCCTTCATCATAAGATGTATTGAAAAGCGCAAAAGGATAAATGTAAATATAACTTTTAGATAGCAAATGAGAAATGCTAAATGATTGATTAAAATTTGAATTGAAATTTTGATCAGTGAAAAATGAGGCAGCAGTAGTTGTATAATAATTGATGAATAAATTTATTGATTGATCAGAATTAGCATTATTGATTGATTCTGATTTAATTTCATTTTGTGTGATTAATTTGCCTGAGTGATAATAATTTTGAGCAATGAATATTTGCAATAAATTTACAGAATAGCAATCAATTATTGAGCTAAATTTTTTGATCAAATTAAAATGATCAAATTGATATTTCATCCAACAATATGCTTTGCTAATTTTTCTATGCAAAACATTAAATTTGAGAAATTTTTTAGTTTTTTTACGCCCAAATATCAATGCTTTTGCTTTTTTCAAATAGCGCATTTTCTTCATGTGACATTGACTGCTGCGACAATTTTTTTTGAAGATGAAAAATCAAAAAAAGTTGAAATTTCATCGTCACATAAGTACAGCACTTCTTCAATATTTGTTTGTGTTTCTAACATCTGTTGATAATATCGATTTCCATAGCAAATCCTAAATTTACTTAAAATTATTATTCAATTTCATTTGTAGTTGAAAATTTTAAATATTTTTAAATTTAATTTTTTTTACAAATTTAATTTGCTACCATCTGAAAAACAAAAAAAAAAAAAAAAAAATCATTTTTCTTTATGTACAAAAACATAATTATCTCAATTTTTAAGCACAAAAAAAAACATTGCAAAATAAATATTTAAATTAATCGATGAGTTACATAAAAAATTTATGAATACTTTCAGGTATAGTAAATTAATATTTTCAGGTGAGAATATTATTATAAATGAATCAATTTTAAATTGAAAATAATTCAAAGAATTATTCAGACATTGTCGTTTCATTTTCTTTGTTTTTTTTTTTCTTTTTTTATCAATTTAATTGTTAAATAAATGAATGTATGATAACATAGAAATGATAAAATAATTTCGTAGATATTTCTCAAAAACTGAAAAATTTACATTTTAAATTACAAAAAACTTTTGGTAAATATATTTTAAAAGAAAATAAAAAAAACGAATTAAAGCATTTTTCTTTTATTTTTTAACTAAATGTATTGTTTATTCAAAAAAAAAAAAAAAATTTTTTTTTTTGGTTTCTTTTCAAACAAACATTACAATGTGAAATTTCAAAATTTGACATATTTGACATAAATGACAAAACATTTTGAACATTATCAATTAATCACAAATTGATGATTATCATTTCATTCTTAATACAATTTTTGAATTTATCAAATAGTTTAAAATAAGTAAAACAATTTTAGATCAATTATATTTCAAATTTTCAATCTAATATCACTAATTTTTAGCTAAATAATGATTATAATTTTTAATTATATAATAATTACAACTTAAACAATAATTATTTTTATGCTCAAAATTTTCAAATTATAATACCAAAAAAATAAAATTAGTAAAAAATTGAATTATTTATATTGAAGTAATGAAGAAAAAATAAGAAAATAAAAGATTAAATAAGTTAAATGCATAATTTAATGTAATTTCTATTAAAAAATTTGCAATAAAAAGAAGTAATTAAAATTAAAAAGTAATTAAAAATTTCATTAATTTCATTTTATCAAATCTCAAATGCTAATCATAATGAATTAGATAAGAAAAATAGCACTGCTAATTAATTAATATATAAAAATATACTATCTAAGAATACTATCAATAATTGCTTAAACAATCAGCAAACAATTTATTACCTGCAAAAGCAAAATAAATTTTAAAATTACTCAAAATTATTGATTAATCAATTAATTAATTAGTTGTATATTAGATAATTTTCACCTGATAAAATAATTAAAAATTTAAAAAAAAAAACAAAAAAACACAAAGAGGAAAAAAAGAAAAGAAAAGAATATTTGAATTAAATCGTTAAGTAATAAATCATTTGTTCATTTTACTGAAATCGAATAATATCGAATTGAAATATAATAAAACGAAATAAGAATGTGATAATAAATTTTGTCTTTGTTAAACTAATAATACCACAAAAATAAACGAATTTCGAATTGATATCATATGTTAAAAGCAGCGCAATCATTTAATTTCATATTGTATTTATATTATAAATTTAAATTCATATTTAAATTATATTTGTCACACACTTCTATACATTTCTCTTCTTAATTATTCTCATTTCAATTATGAATTTGACAAATACTTCGCAAATGACATCTTTTTTTTAATATTTAATTAATTTAAAAAAATGAAATGAATAAATTAATTAATACAAAATAATCTCAATGATATAACTATTAAAATTAATTTAAATATTATATTTTTCATATTTCTTTAAAAAAATAATTGTGGTAAAAAAAAAAAAAATTTGAAAAGAAATGACGAATTTAAATTATAGAAGCAAGAAATGAGTAAACAAAGCTGATGATTCTCGATTTCACAAAAAAAAAAAAAAACTTATGCAATTCAATCTTTCATGCAAAAGAAGAAAAATGCTACGAAGCTATCGAATAGTTAATAATACTAATACTTATTAACAAAACTGAAATATAATTCAAGCCTGAAAAAGCTTGTCTATTTTTTTTTTTTTTTCATCTTGGCTATTAATAGATTTTCCTTTTTTTTGTTTTATATACGATTTGTCTTATCATTTCAAATAGTCTAATTTATCAGTGCTTGAGAAAGTTCATAAACAAAATAAAATAAAAGAAAAGAAAAGAAAGGAAAGAAAAAGAAAGTAAAATTCTCATTTAATTTTAACTGCAAAAAAAAAAAGAAACTATTATGTCAAAGAAAGAAGACGAAGTATATTTTAATAATGATAATTAAACTTGACCAAATGATATATTTTGATTTAAAAATTTTATCCAAAATAAAAAAGAAAAGAAAAAAAAAACTTTTTAACTTTAGAAAAAAGAATGGAAAAGAATGAAATGATAAATTTGAATTTATTGCAAAAAAGTTTTTTTAAACGATTCTCAATTATTATTCCTTTTTTTTTATGTAATAATGTTTATTTGAAAAATGACCACAGTGCATGTTAAGGAGTGAAAGTATCCTTTAGCTGAATAGCCATAGCCTTTAGTGACCACTTTAAATGAACTTTAAATTGAGCACTTTTCAAGTGACACGAAGACATTTGATAGAAATATTTTATATTTTAGAGAGTATCAGTTAAAGTAGCAAAGATTTAAGCTTTATTGCAAATAGTCTAAAAGCGCCTTCCGCTTTGCGCCTTGGGATAACCAATAGTAATAAAGTAAAACATTTATTTACCATTAGCTATTTTGATTATTATTATTATTATTAGCATTAACATTTGGACAAAAGTAATAATTTATTCAATTCAAAAGCAAAATTATGAATAAAACATTTGTTGGTCATTTTTTTTTTTTGAAAAAGTAGAATATGTAAGTGAGGAAAGCATGTATTGGCCCAGCTTGGCTCGATCTTGCAGTATGGCTTTATCTAAACTATCTTCTGGCCAAGAAATAGAATAGTCTGAAATGCTCTGCTATATTCATTATTCAACCATTCTAACAAACAAAATGCACAACGAAGAAAATTCACTGAACAACAATTCATACTTTATGATGCGCAAATGGAAAAAGACATAAAATTTTGTAAATAATATTTTGTAAACTTAAAAAAAAAAAAATAAACTTTACCTGAATTTAAAAAAAATATAAGTAAAAAAAAAATTTTTTTCTTTCTTCTCTACTGATATTTTTTTTTATTTTTTTTTAACATAAATATGTAAAATTTAAAATGAGAAAAAAAAAAGAGAAGGAAAAAAAAAAATTAGTCAATCACATTGTCTATCCAAAAGTATATCTGTTGACAAATTTTAAATCGATCAGAATTGTGACACTTTCAGATGGATTGAATTACATTTCATTCAAGTTATAGTAGAAAAAAAAAAGAGGAGTGAAAAGATTAGATCAAAACAATTCATTTATTTTCAACTCAAAATTTTTTATTACAATTTTTTTTTTCTTGAAATTAAAAATAAAATTGTTTATTTTATATTAATAAAATGCTTAGTTTTTAGTGAGAGGAAGAAAAAAAAACGATCAAAATTATTAGTATAGTTGGAGGAATTGATAATATTTTCTATCAGATGGCTGTTTAATTAAACTAGTGAAATCTAATGTAGTACTTAATTAAATATTTTACTATATTTAACAGAGAGACTCGAAGAAGCATAGCTTTAGAGAAATGATAATTAGAGAGGTATAAGGAGAGTTTATTGTTCAATAATTCATCTCTTATCCTAATTCAATCAAAAATTATCAAACTTATCACAGATAACATTCTATTCTGGTGATAATTTCAAGTCATAGATATGATAATACTCTATTCTCGTAGCATTTCTGAATTAAGTAACTTCAAGTATTGATATTAAATGTTTTTACAAGTTCCAATATTTTCATTTTTTATGTTTATTGATTGATATTGTTAATAGCATTAAATTTCTTTTTCTCTCTATACTCTTTCTAAATTTTCATAAAACAAAAAAAAAAAAGAAGATATTATCGAAAATTTATATTTATATGAATTAAACATATTTAATAATTCAAATCAATTAATTTACAAAATGAAAATTTTGAAAACGCTCTAAACTTTTAGTGCATAAATTTTGATTTTAGCTTTTCGAAATAATTCAATTGATTTATTTACTTTATTGAATGTACA